GGTTGTCTCACTAGCAATCATACTACATCATTTTTCAATTTTATAATTCAAATCAAAGATATATTATAGCATCAAAATTGTGTTTTTATCCGTTATCATTTTATTTATTGTGTAATGCTTTCAACCAAATGTTTTAAGACAGACATACACAGATATTGTTATTCATTAACGAAAAGGACATATCATTCATGCCACTAACAAATTATTTGGAATCGTTATGTTGATGTGGTCTCTCCTTCTCGGAGTTTAGATTTTGATTCACCCCTCTGCATCTTTCTTTTTCTTTTTTGAATTTTAAATCACTTATGCAATGACAAGTGAAAAGAGTTTACAAAGTCTAATAGATTCGTTATATGATGTTATTTCATCCGTTTATGAAGAAAATATAAAAATTATAAGAAATTGCAACCAACGGCACTGAAATAATTTACATTAGGCAGTAGGGAATTATAAGGATAATTTCACATTTTTTGTAAACAACTGAAAATTTTAGGCAATTTATAAATAGTCAGTTTGTGCACATAGATTGATCGAATGACTACAACTTAGAAATATAAATATAGATAATCTTATATCATTTCAGGCTGCAATTGGGCATGTAATTCAAATAAAAATCTATGGGATATCGCATTTTCATCATTTTCCACGAACCTACCTTTCCCATGAAAAGTAAACTTAACAAGAAAGATAATGATGACAGTATATTTTAGTTATTAATAACAATCACGATTCATACCAGGAACCAATTTTCTGAAGTGTGCCCACTTCATATAAGGACCAAAACGATCGAACGTCCGGAAATATTTTTCTCCTACTTACTTCGTTTTCTTAATACTAGGTGAATGACAGTAAGAAACTCCCCCTCGAAATACTTATAATATAATAGTAGGAAGGTCAAATATTAAATGTATAATAATTTTGATAATTATATTTTTTCATTTGATCTAATAAAACAATATTACAGATAAATACAACGGTGATGGTCAGTTTTTGAACTGATACAATTTCATCAAATATTTTTTTTAATAAAATATTATTCAATAACATAAAATGAAAACATAAATTAAACTTTCGATTTTTTTTCAAGGAGATGAGTAATTATTACCAGTGATATAAATATCCACTAAAGATCAAATGACGTAGATGTTAGCAACTATAGGTCATCGTACGGAATCCAACAATGAGCAAAATCCATACCGCATAGCAAGCTATAAAAGGCCGCGACATATAAAAAAGTAAAACAATTCAAACGAGAAAACCAACAGTCTGATTAATGTAATGAACAAATAAATAAAAAAACAAATATAATATACGGCATCAATTGACATTCCATGAACTACTGGCTCCTGACTTTGGTCAAGTACAACCATAATGTGACAGTGTTAAACATGTTTGCAGATTACCAACCCTTCCTCTAACCTAATACTGTAGTGTAACAGCGCAACATAAGAACAAAATATAAAAATTAATTCATCACATCGATACAAAGCACAAAAAAACAACAAAAACAACATTAAATACACACAGTCTGCTTCATATCTTGATTTATCATCTTGACTCTATTTTTTCGACTTATGGCGTTTGATTGTCCTCTTTGTTTATTCTGCCTTATTTTTGGGGTCATTTATAAAAATCTTACATTTGAAATTTGTTAAATGTTAAAACTCATTTTTTGTTTAATTATGGGGAGTCGTTACAGGTTCAGGAAAGATAACTGTTTACGCGATATTGAACGTTCAACGTCTCATTGTCACTATTTTTGTTTATGATGACGTAGTAAAAACAATAAGGTATAAAAGAATTGTCTTGTCGTTTTATAAGGTAAAAGAATGCAAACATTTGTTTTTACCTGTTGTTTATTTTCTCTCAGAATTAGGAATTTGACAGGAGATGTCTTGTAATCTTCTGAACGTGGAGAGTGATTTCCCGCAAAGTATACGTATGAGGCAATAATTGGAAAATACACTTTCGGGTACAATTTTGAGAGTTTTCGATATACGTATGGTAAAAAAAACTTTCAATATGTATGAATTAATTTCAATTGCGAAACAAAAGCCAACGTGAATGAATATATTTCGAAACAAATGAAAATAGAAAAAGCGTGTAAATCTGATCTATAAAAGTCCGTAATTTGATCTTACTTTGGCACAAATTCCATCAGGTTTTCAAATAAGAGATAACTATTGAATGTTCTTTAATTTTTCACTAATTTTTAATCGAACCAATTTGAAATTTCTTTCACAAAACAAAAAATTGTTATACAAGGAAATAATCTTTTTAAATTATTACCAAAAAGAATAATTTTTTTGGGCGAATACATGCACGCGGGAAATTTCGTTTTATTTTATGATTTTTTAACGATCTTATCCCGATCTACAACATATCTCTACCCCACCCCTAAGAAATAAAACAATGTGAAAATCTATCGACACCCCTAAATATCACTTGATAACTTCACTATGTGCATAATGTTGAAGTAGTTAAAGCGTAACCGTCAGCTTATTCCCGGAACACTTATGAACTGATATAAAATCAGTAACATAAATTTGTTTCTCTAAAGTGTCTGCTGACAAGTAAGTACGTTTATCATTGTCTAATCGACTTCACTTTCTATATACTAATTTTAATTAATTATTGAATTCAACAATTTGTCTTAGTTCAAATTATATCGCATTCTTTACTATAAATGCATTTTTTTTCAAATATATGCCAAGTCATTGTCAGTCTGTAATACCATATGTATGTTTTCTATGATCTAGGTTTATGTAACTCATTTAATGAGGACAATTCATTGGCCATTGTCTCCCTTTGTACTAAAAAATGAATTGAATCTGACATGGATTTCAAAACCACATTAGGGGTATGATTTGTATGAACTGCTCTATCTATCAACCTAAGCTTTCAATGTAGTATCATGTGTACTATTATTTGGTTTTTTTTTAATAATGGTATTATTTGTCCTTCGACGACTAAAAATTTGGTTTGCTACTTTTTGATATCGGTTATTTCATGTTTTCAAAAAAGTTTTACCTTTTTCTATTTAGCCGAAAAATCTTCATTCGTACATGATGATAGATATCCGAATACGAAAACACACAGAATTTTACTTCAAACATTTCAATATATATATATTTCTAACTGTATCATTGTATTTTGTGTATTTGGGTTGCTGTATAATGGACGTTTATGAGTGGCCATTCGTGTCATTGGCGGTATTAACATACCGTATAAAACTTTGAACGCGTGGGTTTTCACTTTTAACACGTTGGGTTTTACTTTTAACGCGTTGGTTTTCACATTTAACGCGTTGGTTTTTATTTTAAAATGCTTTGGTTTTCACTTTTAACGCATTGATTTCACTTTTAACGCGTTGGTTATCACTTTACTATTTACACTTTTAGTAATAATATAATAAACACTCCCTTTTTCAGTATTTCTATCACATGACTTAACAACAAATTTGCTTGACGTTTATTTCTTCATTTTTTTGTTTTAACGGTAGATTGTTTTTCAAGAATCCATTGTCATCCAAAATTAAGCTTTATGCTAACTTTGAATATGTAGCTTACATACTTTTTAACCCTACAAAAACGTACTACACATTCGGGATTTGAACCAGAGAGCGTTTTATACTATAATCACAATAGTCTTCTGTCCATGCACGATACCACTCGACTACAATTGCTGATATACAATTACTAATAGTTTATACTCTTAAAGCGCTTTTAGTTATCAATAACTTTTTTCAATACATGTACATACTACATTTACATACATTTACCTGTCTATATTATTGTATATGGCGGCTTTTTGTTCAAGGTTATTGTTGTTTTTTTAAAATTGTTTAACATCTCACAGCGTATACTACTGTTGCCTTTATTTATTCAGCCCTTATTTTATTGATTTTGTATTTACATTGTATTATAAATCAAATTTATTCGTTCAGTGTATGTTCACTAGTGTTGATATGTCTCTTGATTGAGTTAAGCCATTTCAATTGATATTTTATAGTGTGTCTTTCTATGTTGCGATGTTACACTATTGTTTCAGATAAGGGTGAAGTTTGGTACCTATTAAAACGTTTAAACCCGCTGCATTTGTTTGCACCTGTCCTAAGTCAGGAATCTATTGTTCAGTAGTTGTCGTTTGTTGATGGGGTTCATAAATGTTTCTCGTTTCTCGTTTTTTATTTAGATTAGACCGCTGGTTTTGTCGTTTAAATGGTTTAACACTAGTCATTCTTGGGGCCCTTTATAGCTTGCTGTTCGGTGTGAGCCAAGGCTCCGTGTTGAAGACCGTGCTTTGACCTATAATGGTTTACTTTTAAAAATTGTGACTTGGATGGAGAGTTGTCTCATTGGCACTCATACCTCATCTTCTTATATCTACATAAAAAGTCATTGACATTAAGCTTTGTTCATTGATATCCAATGTGCACGATGGCCGTTTTTTTTTTATTTCATTATTGTTTTTTTAGTATCTTTTTTTTTAAGGGGAAAAAAGGGGGGGAAGGAGCGGGGGTAGGGTTGTTAAACATGGGATTATATCGTTTAACATTTCATATTTCTAAATCAAACATCAATACAATACAATATAATTATGATAAATTAAACGGTATAATTATAAAAACCGTTCAAAGATATAAAACAACAAAAATACAACAACGAGAAGAACGAAATGTTAACTTATATTTTACTTATGTTAACTTGTTGGAAACCTCAATATAGATGCGAACCATCTAGATGCAATCATTATCAAGTTTTAAAGAATAAATAAGACAAAATATGAAATCTTCTTATTCCTTTGATTTATTGCCAAAACGTAAAATTTTAATCAGCAATAGGTTTAGCTAGAAACTTTTTAAGAGAAGTTGTAGATCGGCAACGATAAATAACTTGCGACTAACGTCCAATACATTTTCGAATACCTGACACCAAGTAAGCATGGTAAGGTTTTATGGAAACATTGTTCAACATTAAACCTGTGTATATTAATGGTCCTTGTTTTTTAGAAGCTTTTCCTTTCTTCAACGATGAACTACAAACAGTTCTTAGGATTTACTTTGATTTGGTAAGTCACGGGAATATTTGTTAGTATAAATATCACTCCAGAAGATTATCGTAAATAACGAATCACTAGAAATTATTTAAGACACCAGGCTTAAATATAGAAACGCCATGGGGCGTTTTGCCTACACAAGACACGTCAGTGGCGCTCAAATCAAAATTGAGAGACCAGTTGAAAAGCACTGAAAACCAAATAATTCAAAAATGTGTTTCTAATTTGACTAAATCAATTTATTCCTGGCTTACTTGTACCATTTTAAAAGTACGCGACAGGCGTATTTAGTCTATATTGGAATCAGCAGTGGCGCTAAAATCAAAACAAAGCAACAGCATGATTACCGATTTATATGAACTCGATACGAATTTAATTAAAAATCTGGAATTGTAAAAAAAAAAAATAAATTAAAACGGGAAAATAGCCTTACCTTCTTTCATGCAAAGCAATTAGATTTAAATGAGCTGATTCGTGACAGACCTACAACTAAAAGATCGAACCATTCGTGATATCTAAATACTATGGAGATGAATCGAGAACTTAAAAAGGAACTTTTTATTCTTGGTCAGATAGCTTAGTCACGCTATCACAAACATTGTTGATGGAATTAAAGAAGGTGTAACATACATAGAAGTTTGAAAGAATTTCTGGCAAATTATTGTTCTATGATCATTTTTTAGAAATGACAAGATAGAGTCAGGGAAATATATAATATAAGACCAATAATTTAGGTAAACTATGATTGCAGAGAGAAGATTACGTATCTTTGAAATATTCTTTTGTTAATTTTGAAATAGGTTAAATTGTAAAAGTGAATGCAATTAAGTTGATAAAAGTTCAGTAAATGCACTTCAGAACATTGTTTCGTGGCATCGGTGGCCGAGTGGTCTAAATAGCGCATCTACATGTTTTACCATAAAAATAAGAAGATGTGGTATGATTGCCAATAAACTCTCTAAAAGAGCTGTCAAATCTACGTATACATAAATAATTATAGGTCACCGTTCGGCCTTCAACAATGAGCAAATCCCATACCGCATAGCAAGCTTTAAAGGACCCCGAAATGACAAATGTAAAACACTGAGGTTGTGAGTTTGAATACCTCTACTATGCAATTTATCTCAGCCTCATTTTCAATACACATTTTAGCAAAAAAAAAAATCATGAGTGTTGAGTTTTATAATTTGTTTTTTCACCTATTCTCTCAAAATTCTGAATATTTAATTGTTGAATCGAAATGTCCAAATTTCTTAATATTTAATAATATTGTGGAAAGTAATTAATCGTTTGAAACAATATTAAAATGATTTTACGAAAGGGTTTCGACGTTTTAAGAAGTCTTTTGAGTTCATTGCTACCTTCATGCTACATTTGCTAATTATCAAAAGTTCAAGTGCAATAACTCTTCCTAATAATATGATTTTATTATAATATACTGTCAAATATTTTTCAGGGTCTCCAAGTTGCTGTTGGTAAGAAATTATAACATTCGACACATGATAAAAAGAAGTACAAAGTTAACTTAAGATGCAGGTTTTTGTATATGTTCTAAACTCATTGCCCAAAATCGGTTTCAAGAATTTGAAGGAATTATTTATTTGACACCTTGTCTATAAAACCCCCTTTCCCAACCCGAGCATGGTATTCGAACAATACATAAAACGTACAAATAACACAATAATAAAGTGGTATTACACAGTTTCCATATACACTCACTTTTTTATGTACCAAATGGAACATTAGACGAGAACTTCGTATTTGTTTTATGAATGAAATAGAGTGTAAGATAGGTACTTGTGGCAATTTTCTTTTAGATTTGCATAAAACTTTATACCAGACCTAGTAAATAACTTTACAGTTGCGCGTTCCAAAGGGAACTTAGGAAAGTTAAACCCAATGTGATGTTTGTCTTTCAGCAAAATAGAGGCGAAAGATCCCAATGGGACATTGAAATATAATATCTTGTTTTATATAAACAAGATATTATTTCTATGAAAGCATTAAACTGTATTTTACGCACGTTTACACACGGTCAAATGGTTGTGTCTTAATGCAAAATTAAACTTATCGCTTTTATTACATGTATTAAATTGACTGTTTTCATTTGAATTTAACTCAAATCATAAAAAACAAAAAATAACAAAACAAAACACAACAAGCTGGCCAATAATGTCTGTGTATTTGTATATATTATGAGGTGTCAGATATAAATCTCATCGTTTTAAAATCATATTCCTTTACCGTACAAAAAATGTATAATGTCGTCTGAAATATGCACTATTGATTAAATATTTTCTTTTCAAGTTTACGGAATGTCAGACATGCAACTTAACCATTGAAGATCCTAAATGGAATGACATGTGGTATCTTGTAAGTTAACTAATAAGAATAGTATCATTCGATATGTGTATATGGTTTACAATACAAGACACATCTCTGCTAGGGTTAACTAAAGTCTGCCATTGATTACTTGAGAAATTGTTTGTTTTAAATTTTTTATTTGATTATTAGTGAGTTTTTCAAATAAGAAATTTTGACATTACTATAAATAAATTACATTACCCCAAACTAATTTATTGTCAAGAAAAAACTAGAGCACTTAAAACAATAAATTACACAAAAAGAAAGGTAGACAACACTATTGTTAAAAGACAAAAAAAAACCTAATATAATTCACTAATTCCAAACATACACAATTTGATTCTGTCGTATGCTTTCATTCAGCATGGCAACATTTACGTCATATGAATGCAACCTAAGATTATATGATTATAAGCACCGCCTCCCTAATTTATTAGTACTATGTTCACATTGTTCGTGTACTTTGTGCAAACAATTATATTGAAAAAAAATTGATTCTGTCATATGCTTTCATTCCGCGTGGCAACATTTACGTCATATGAATGCAACCTAAGATTATCTGATTTTAGCACCGCCTCTCTGATTCATTAGTACTATGTCCGCATCGTTCGTGCAAACAATTATATTGAAAAAAAATTTATTCAATTGAAAAAGTTTTAGACGATATATTTTGTAAATGTGGATAATTGCTATAAATATATAAAATATATAATAGTAAATCAATATTTTATGATAAAAATTCACAATGTTATAAATATTTTCCGAGCTATCTATCTTCTTTTACCAATTTGAGTATTATGATGTATACTTATTTGTTTAACGTGGAAATACACTGATTTGTCTCACTAGATAATTCCTGTACATGTTAAAAAATACCTTTAAGATTCAAAATGTGAATAACATTATATTTTTTCCCCATTTAGATAATCTATGAATATAGGAATCTAATACTATGTTTTTGAAAATATATACGAAATGAAAGCAATTAATTATGATCACATTTTTAGCAACTTTTGAACGGTCACTTGCTTTCATTTGCATTTAAAACAAACAGGGTTTTTTAACTTTCATTTCTGATATCAATTTGGTACATGTATCTGCGTATTTCGCATAATTATTTAGATGTTTCTCAAATCAAGTTAAAAACTATGGGATGTCTCATTAATGTATATGTGGTGCGTTACTGCACGATTTGTTATATGTTTTGTTGTGTTTTAAACAGTTGAGTATACAAAACAAAACACACGATTGTGTTTCGAAAGACGATTACTCTTTCAAATCATGATAAAAGCATACACATGTTACCAACAGCATTCAAAGAACATAAAATTGGTATACATCTGTATGCACGTAATAACATGAATTTTAAATCGATAAAAGTAATCTCATACATTTAACTAGACCTTGTTTATGTGCAAAACCATGGTTTCATTGCAATTCAAAATTAAATTAAATATTTAAGAAAACTAAAAGAATTTCCTTTACTAAATATTTAATTTCTTGATAGTGCTATGTTAAAATGTAAATGCAGTACATATAAAACGAAAACTTAAACGTTAACTAACTTATCGGTAAATATTTTATACTTCACTCTATTTTAATATTCTAATTTTATGATAAAAGGAAATTCAGAGTCTCGATTTCTTAAAGATATATTTCTGATATTTCATCACTAACTTTTAGAACAATCCCAGGACAAATGGATATGACATGAATGTATTACCAGCATGGACAAGTTGTGTAAACGGTACTGGCGTGACTGTGGGTGTAGTTGACAATGGCGTTCAGGACCACATAGACCTTAACATTGTGAGTAGAATTTTTAAAAGTCTGTCTACTGCAGTAGTTATAGTTTGTATGGGTTTGTAAATCATGTATATAACATAACATTTTCATACATGTATCATTCAGAGGACATTTTGTCTTTTCTTTTGTGGACATGCAATAAGTCGTGATTTTTTACCACTGTCATTGCATTGGTATTTGGAATAAAAGCCAGAGGTATAGATTGATTGTTTGGCATATGTCAAATTTTTGAACTGTAATCAGCGTTAGAAAACTAATAAAAAATGTCAATACAAACACTCATACCACATTTTATATCTATTCAAGAAATATTTTTTTATTGATGTAACCATGTAGCATGGTATTTTCAGATACCATATAAGTATGCCCATGTGTTCTAGAATTGGAATACCGAAATAATTATATTCTAATTTCCTTTCCATCTCTGTTTTATGGCACCCCTTCCGTTAATCGGGCATAGTTTCGTCTATATACCATTGATATTTCTAAGGAATGTGCCTCCTATATCATCGTAAGAATTAGTTTAAAATGTCAGCAGTGTATCTGTTTTTTTCAGCTTATGACAAATTAAAGAATAAATCTTCCATTTAACAACTGTTAATGTTTAAATACATATATTATTGAAGGCATTGTATTTTCTTCTATAAGAAAAACTGTCACAAAAATAATGAAACAATAATTTTATTTTTTTATTTAGTGAAGTATATGCTGTCTTAATGAGCTTACGTTTTGTATAATTATTTGTTAAATAACTGTTTCAAGCTGTATATCTGGCTCCGTATTCATGGTAATTCATTTGTTTATTTTAGAATAGGACATTGAATGCTGGATATACATACACTAGAGAACTAGAGTATCAACTTCGGTAAGTCAAAACTCATGCGTAAAAACAATAATTGAACTTGAAAAAGAACTATAAAGAGTTGATAACAAATTTGTGACCTTACTTTCTTTCGTTAAAAAAGAAATAGTAAGATACGAGACATTGGGAAAGTTTGTCCGTGTGAGTAAAATGATAAACATTAAGAAACATGATACTTATGTGACAAAAGTGTTAGTCTTTCACTATGATGAATGGTAGATACCTGGTCAATCAAATGCGACCTTTGTGACTTAAGATGAATCATAATATTCAATGTTTGATTTTTTTTTCAGGTCACGCCAGTCACCAAGGGTAAGAATACAAACTGAAAAAAAAAAAGAATTGAATTTGTTTATGAACTGGTTAGGTCTTATTAGTTAAATTCAACCTTTATCCCAATAATTTGAATAAAATCTTGCATAATCTAATTAGTATATTTTGCTACTTGATAATACAACAATTGAGCTGACCTCACCAGAAAATAAGTTGGTGTCACAGATCTCGCAAATAATTCTCAAAAAATTTAATATAAGATACGAAAGGTGGACAATAAGATGCAATGGCAAGCGTCACACTTAAACTGTTAAACTCTTAGGTTTGATGTACCTACATTAAATAGACTAATTTACCAAATTGTTTCCTGAAATGTGGTAAAATTGGTAACACCTGATCAAGAGTAGGAGAAGAATTCAGATATATGTCTTTCGTATATCAACTAAAACACGTCTGAATTGTTATTTGTGATCAGTTGTACTGCTGCTTTATTTTACTATCAAAGTATATGGACAATGATTGTTCAGTCTTTCAATTTGCATAGTCCTGATACGTTTAAGGTATAATTTCCACTGAAATGATTTCTAATCACGTTACATTTACTTTTGATCTTCAGAGTCAAAACCATTTGCTATTATAAAATACATGAAAATGTCATTACAGTAACTAATATATTTTTATTGTCTTATTCTCCTTCGTTGAGGTTATCATCTTCAAATCATCACAGTCGCCATTTCAAATAAATAGTAATCATATGTATTATAAGTTACCGAGAAAACATATATATATTTTTAAATTCGATCAAATAATAACAGATTATACTAAAGAACAAGAACAATATTCCATTCATCTCATTTGGTCCCAAACTTTTCCAAGCCAAGCTGTAAAGTCTGTGATTAATCATAGTTTGCATTTTTTATGCGTCATGATAGTGTTATGGTGAGTTCTCAAATATTTTATCAAACTAATATAGATAAAAATATTTTGATGCAGTAGTTGTCTTTCAGAACTGATTTAATTTTTCATGTTTTTATTTTACTCTATGTTTATCTGACTCTTCGTGTTGCTCAGTCTTTAGTTTTCTATGTTGTGTTTTGTGTTCTGTTGTTTGTTTGTTGGTCTTTTTCGCTTTTAACCATGGCGGTGTCAGTTAAATTTCGACTTATGAGTTTGATTGTCCTTTTGGTATCCTTTGCCTCTTTTTTCCATGAGAAGGAATTTCTTTTAAATTCATTATCAATACATTATAATTTTCTTCTTTAAGAATTGGTTCAGATCTCCTGCTATACGGAAAAGACAATATCAAGAATCACTTAAGTAAGTAAATACGTTGTTAATACCGTTCCGAACATACATTTCAGTTTGTAAAATATTGTCAGCTTACTTCGGATTTTCAAGACAAATAACGAACACAGCAAAAATGTATTAGTGTTGAATAATATTTCATTGTATAATATGCCTCAAAGTTACCAAATTTGATATCAATATTTATTATTTACCTCGTTGTTAATAAGGTATACTCTTTGCGTAATACAATCAATGACAATCGTGCTGTATCAGCTATCCGTGATGATATCGATATCAGTCACGGTCATAAAGGCTTTATTAGACTTTTTATATGTATTACGTCTTGTAATCGGTATCAGCCGCGGTTGTCAGGTTTTATCAAACCAACTATCTGTATTACGTCCTGTCACATAAAAACATCTACTGAAGTATACATAAAAGTGCATATGATATGTTTTATTTTCAATATCACATATCGTATCAACCCTCTCAAGTAATATTGTTGTTTTAATCCATCGAGCAAAACTCTTGGGATTATATTGGTGTCTAAGATTGATACGGGTGTTATATTGAAAATGCCATTTGATATTCTTTATGTATAACATTAAGATGTCTAACTTACCCTGTCGACGCACACTATCTTGCTTCTATTGGAGTTCATACACTTCCCATACTTTGTTACATTGATTCGACATCTGCATCGATTTTTGGATTTCATGGGTAGACTACTGGTGTCTTATCTTACAGATATCACATAAAATTACAATAGATTTCATTGAAAAAAACCGACTAAAACAGTAAAATTTTTATTTGTACATGTATCTTTATTGAACATCAAACATTAAAGATGATTGTTTTTCTTAGAAAGTCAAATCTAGTTATGCTGCTAAAATTCGACATTGCATCAACTTATTTAATTTCCTTATTTTTAGTCTTCAGTCTGTATGATAACAAACGTCCCTACCAGATGTGTTTAAATTGACCAGAGCCTGAAATGTGCATGCATATCAAATATATATTCAATTGAATATAAAAGCCCTAAAACCAATGACATGAGAAACGACAACCACTGACATGCTTCCTCCACTTATACAGATTGTAACAGAAAACTCCACAATGAAACCCTCTCCAGATGACCCAATAATATTCATTTGAAATGTAAAAACATATGGAAAAGGTAAACAGTGTTACCTTCTGTACATATTTCGATTTAATTTTTGTCGAAAATTAACATCAGAAATATGTTAAGTTTGAAAATTAGCACCGAATGTATATTGTTATTTGAGAAATGAAGGATTTGTAGCCTTTGCAAATAGTAATAATATGAAACAACAAAAATGTAAGTGCTCTTGTTTTTAATTTTATTTCAAGAAATTAAGGCCAAAAGTTACATGACCAATTTCTTGGATAAGTCGTAAAAACTATGCTCATAGAATAACTTTGGGTAGCCTGAAATGTATTGAAAATCATTTGAAGATATCTTCTGCTTACACTTTAGTGATATTTCTGTTAAAGGTTGACATCATCAACATCTCAGATGAGTTGGAAATTAAACTCATTTCAAATATTTTAGGAAGTTTTATAAACTTGTTACTATCTTTTTTCAATATTTTATTCATGGAACATTGTTAAACTATTATTTGGTTTTTATGGATTATTTTGAAGATATCAAGCAGTTTACTGATATGTAAATAATTTTATAAACAGATATAATAATCCATTGCGTTGACACTGATGTTTTTTCAAGTTCAAGTTAATTAATTGCCGCTTATTTCTGATTATTTTTGAAGACATGGCACAAGAGTAGCCGGTATTGTGGCAGCGAAGAAGAATGAGCAGGGCATAATTGGAATAGCGTTTGGAGCTACACTTGCTGGCGAGTTGATGTATTATCTTAATTTATGACATAAGTATCACATCGAGTGTCTAAATTTCAGACTGCTTATCAAAAATGCATATGTAAAGTTTTAAAATTCGTACAAGATATTCAATTTTTTCTATAATACGTTTCCTAACCATCCTATCAACATGTTGTCCTTAACCACTGCTTTTTTGTTCTATAAAATAGTTGCATGTAACTGCATACTAAGAAAGGTATGCATTTGAAGTTACATATAACAATATACCTAATTCAATCTGATGCAACACATCTTATTGGTAGTACTTGAAATCCAGTCCAATAATTTCGAAAGATTAATAAATCATTATATATCCTTTATTTCAAATTTGATGGGATAGATTCGATAAACATAGTCACCAAACTTTGCATTTTTTAGGAACAAGACGGAACGTGATGTTAAAGGATAATAAATAAACTCGTCATAGATAACAGGATTTAAATTATTAGCTTCTTGTAGTTTCTTCTATAGGTTGCACTACTGTAAATGTAGACAATACAATTTCCCATAGGAACTCCCTTTACGGCTAAAACTGTACCACTTTTACTTTGAAGTTTCGTAAAAAATTATATCCTAGAATGGAAAGCTCCTATGCACTACTATTTTGTTCAAAGGTCAAAGTATAGGGCTGTGCGGCATATTTTCAACATTTATTTGCCCCGAACTTCTAAGAGTTTAAACTTATACTAAAATTCTGCACTACACCTCCCTTCACTTTGGGTCTTCTTCAGAATTAATTTTCGCCGCTTTCCATGTGTATTTATACTGGTTACATTTCCAAGTTATGACTCTACAAGATGAAACATAGAGATCATATCTGGGAACCAGTAGGTAAACAAAACAAATATCTATGAATATTATATATCTCCCCTAAAATGGTGTGGTTTGTGAAACAGCTGTACTTACAAAGTGCAACCTGAAAAAGCTCCTGTGTTAAGAATGTCCCTTATGACATTAACGAATATGTTATCAATAAAACAATGAATTATATTGATATTGGTCTTTCATTCGTCTAGTTCAATTAATGCTCTCTAAATATCCTTGCCATTCTACTGTACTGTTTTTGTTATGGAGTGATAAAACTGACGATGCACGAGATCAAAATATAAGACAAACACAGTGTCACCTAATTCTTACTAGCTGAGATTAATTTCAATGATTGTTGCAAAATTGAAAGGACATAATTGAAAAAAAAAAATCAAACGTTATGCGCTCGAAGCGCTAACTTATACCAGTTAATTTTACTCGCCAACTATATCATTTGAAAAATTGAAACGGTTAGCTTATTTGAATACTGAACATTTTGATCCAGAATGGCATCAAAGCCAGGACTTAGAGCGTTTAGAAAAAAATCAGAATTTGGAAGTAAATTACGGTGTGAAAATCAAAATACAAAAAACTATTTACAGGCTTAGAAGAATTGTGAAGGACAATATCGTCATATTTCCCAAATTCATTTTTCATTGAATTGCAAGTAACATATTTTTCTTTCTTTGTTTGGTTTTTGCAGCTGGTTGAAAAAATGATTATGTTGTCAAGCTCTACCGTTTTATCACTTGTAAAACAATACATAACATAACGATTGTCCGTACTCAACATCTTTTTAATTCAAAGTGTCTTTATCCTATGCCACAATTAAAATCTCAAAACGGCAAGGCAAGTTAATGATAAATATAAGAAATATTCAAATACCCTATTAATCTTTGACATTTTTACCTATTATATATCTGTTTGTTTTGCTCACATATTGTTTTCAATATAATGGAACTATATGCGACTGTCATACAAGTGAGAGGTTTAGCTAGCTATAAAACCAGGTTGTTTTCCTTTCGTTTGATGTGTTTGAGCTTTTGATTTTGCCATTTGTTAAGGGACTTTCCGTTTTGAATTTTCCTTGGAGTTTGGTATTCTTTGTAATTTTACTTTTTATTGCTCTTATAAGGATAATTTTAAGGGGGATCATTGCTTATCCGCATATAGAATTTTCTTTAACTTTGCAAAAATGTAGATTTTAAAATGTTTTTTTTCAAAAATATAATAAAAGTATGGGTCACGTTGCTATTTTTCAAGCTTCAACCTGGCAAAATTGCCAAATTTGCACAGATTATTCATTAACAAAACTTTTTGTGAATAAAAGAAATCTATGAGATAGAAATTTGAGAAGATATGTTTTATAGTAGGCTTTAAGAAATTAAAAAGAAAAAATGGTGTCACCGTGCTTGATTTCTTGCTACAAGTAAAACATGAAAACTTTCTTTATATATTTTTTTCTATTTGGTTATTTCCCCTTAAATGGCTAAGTTAAAAAAAAATCGATTCGAACAAAACCAAATATTTGGTATTTGTTAACACAGACTAAATATTGCAATTAATCATTGTTTTTTTTTCTTTATTCAAATAAACAGTCTTATTCATTAATTGCCAATCTGTCTCAAAATTTGCAAGTTTAAGCAAAGCACTAGACCGATTGTGTACTGCTTTTTAACAATCCAAGATGGCGGTTTACGGTTAAGGATTAGACAACAAAACCAAATGACGAGATACGACTTTAGATCAGCACATTTAAATATTGCGGAATTAAAGTACAGTTTATGTAAACAAACCAAAATACTAATACTTTATGTTTTATTTTTGACAGATGTAAGAATAGCATCAACTTCTGTTTTTGAGACATTCAATGCGAGTTTACTCACACATCAATCTGATGTAATCGATGTATACAGCTGTAGTTTTGCCAATTTCCATACAGGAACGAAAACATATGCGTTGCTTCCAAATCAAGAAAATGCCTTACGAGAAGGAACAACTAATGTAATTATATCGTAACCTATTATTATATAATGAATGCTTTATATCACCTTTCACTTTTTTCTGAAAAAAAACTGTTTTAAACAACGTTAAATGTAGTAGACAAAACAAAACAGTGTATGTATGTGAAAATTGAGTTTCGCTGTCATTAATTCATTTCACAGTCATTTTTCTTCATGCATCACAGATTTTATTCCTTCTTAAAAAATATGTAAATTTTTTTAACTTATTTTAACAAAGAATTAAAATATTTTACCAATAATTAGCAGTGCGGATCAAAATGCTGAATCATTTAAGATAGAGGGAGTCTGTTATTTTAGACTTCCCAAAAACGTTCGAAACACTTGAATGGGAATTTATGCACTTAGCTTTACAAAACTTTGGTTTTCAAAAATAAATTTTGAAACGGATTGAAACTATTTACAATGATGCTAAATTCTCAGTTTTAAATAACAGTTAGAAATCATAACCTACTTATATTTCAGAGGCATAAGACAAGAATTTCCGTACAGCTCTATTCTTTATGATAGCTGTTGAAATATTGGCTTGTAAAATTAGACAATATTCTTATATTAAAAGATTTAAAACAAGAATTGATGGACAATTCTATAGTAAAAAAAATAACACAATTAGCAGATGGTACAACTTTATTTTTCGAAAATAAAATTGAAATATCTAAAATACTAAATGTAATAGAAAAAATTGGTACATTCTCAGGACTAAAACTAAATAAAGCAAAACTAAAGGAATATGGTTAGGTAAACAAAAACAAAGTAAGGACAAATTTGAAAACATTAACTGGACAAATGGACCAATTAAGTCTTTATCAATATATTTTGGGTTGAATAAAAGAGAGCAAAAAGTTAAATTTAAAATAAACAGTTAAAGAAATCCGATTTTTTTTATACTTGAAAGAAAAGAAATCTAACGATGACAAGTCAAATGTCTGTTGTTAAAACTCTTATCATGCCAAACATGACATACTTAGCAACAGTATCCAATATAGGTAAAGAACATTTAACACAATTTGATACACTTTTATATATGTTTTCATTTGAAACAACCCAACAGAAAAAGTAAAGGAAAAGTGTTATGTACCCGATCGATGTTACAAAGCGGTCTAAATATGACAGACATTCTAAAAGAAATTGAAGCACTTAAAATATGATTTTATCATCTGAAAACTAAAAGGTTATACCAAGGTTCTACTTAGATAAAATTTGGGATAACATTTTTCTCTTTTAATATATGAACATAGAAAATATGAATTCAATACCTAACATAAATAAGTACAAATTACGAGACTTATAAGGGAAAAACTGAAAACTTTACATCAATTCGACAACAGATTTTATGGGGAATACATATATATAAAAGATAAAGGTAAACGCCTTAAAAATTGGATTGATAGTGACATAGTTTATGTATGATATATGAGGAACTAATGGAAAATACCAGAAGAGGAAGTACTTGAGAAATTAAAACACAAAACTAGTTGGACTTATTCTCAAAATGGGATCGTAAATTAAAGATGTGAAACTTTAATGATAAAGGTCAAATAAGTTGAAAATTCATTCATGTTTTTCTGACAGATAATCGTCATTTAATTTCCTAGCCCATAACCTTGTGGAATCTGAATATGACTAAAATTATTGTCATTTAATGGCTAGAAATTAAAAATCAATCAATCACTCAGTAATCAATAAATATTCCATTTATCTTTTACATTTTTTTAAAATTCTTTGGCATCACGGAATTTTGTATTACTGACAATTTATGTCATTTGCATAGATATATTTCATAAGCTAGGTTTAGGATTTAATGATTACAGATTTGTGTATGTCTTTGCCACAACAAGCTATATTGGTGATTGTTATACATGCTATACTTTATTTTGTACGATCAGGGTAGGGGAGGTCTTGGTTCTGTGTATGTTTTTGCTACCGGAAATAGTGGTGGTAAGAAAAAGAACCTTTTCCGTGATAGCTGTGCTTATGACAGATTGGTAACCAATAGATACGTGATTTCTGTGGCAGGTACTCATTTAAAGATTTCTACATATATTTTTTTATCCATGTGTTAGCTTATAAATATTCAAGAAATGTAAAAACATAGAAGAGAATCGAGACACAGGCTTGTCTTTACTTGAAAGTTTTCAGTGAATTTTAAAATTAAGAACAGAGAAGTTTACCAATGTTCAAGTCTCATATATTGATAAAGAATTAACACACCAAGGTTACAAACACTAAGGGAATCACTTACCATGCGAATCCACACTCAGTCTAAGAGTCACATACAGTCACACTACAGTCATGACGAATATCCGTGAAATTATGTCTCTAGTAAGTTGAGACATAGTCAAAAACAGACTGAAAAAAAGAAGGTAACTTGTCTGTCACAGATTCCAAAAATATATAGTTTTGAAGTTCTTCTCTGTGAAAAAGGGAGATGATCATTTTTTTCGGTTTTTATAAAGTCCCTTCTAGTATCAACTGATTCGGTCGAAGAAACAAAAATAATCAGAACAAGAGAAAGAGTTTTTTTGACGAAATGTGGAAAAACCTTAAAACATAGACAAAGAAGTACAAATAGAAAATTGGCAAGGTAAGTCATTTAGAAGGAAAAACTAATATATTGTGATATTCATATTTGCTAGGTATTCAGCACAATCTTAAAAAACTCCCAAACGGGGAAGCTTGTAGTGCTATGATGGTTGCAGCTTTTACTACGAAACCAGGTGAAAAGAGGAAACATAGAGCTAGAGTGGTTCGTATACTTTGACCCGTCGATGAACTAATAATTTTGTATTGATTGACTCTCAGTATAGAAATAAATTTAAATGCACTCTCGTGAGCTTTACCTTGACTTTTCTAAATAGGATCGTTACCTGACGATGAAAACTTTAACCAAAGTTTACTCAAAATAAAACAGATGACACGTTAAATAGTCCTATTTATTTGAATAAAATGGTGACTTCAAAATGAAAATTGTTTTTTATCTGACCCCTTCACTAAAATATTTAAAGCTCCCAAATGTGTAATGACTTTAACGATACCAGTTTAATTGCAACTGATTTATATTTTGCCAATTAATCTCTCTATAATGATGTTTAAGACCAAATTTGAAATACTTGTTATCAGGTATTATTTTTTTTTATCATTTTCACAGACCTGGGTCTCAGTAAAGAATTGTATTTCTTAAAATAAATTAGCATGCAAAAACTCTCTTCCCAAATTAACTAAATAAAACAACAATGTCATGAACAATAGTTTCTTAATGACAAATTAAAGACGAATTTTGACAAACAGCTTAGTGTCGAAATAAATCAGTATTATTTTACTTATGAGATGCACTGGGATTAGATTTGACAAGTTGTCGAACAAGCAATGTGTCAATTCGAGTTGATACATGCGCTGTGTCGTAGGGTGTAAATTAAACACATTAAAAAGAAAAACAAATATATAATCTGCTTGTTGTTTGATGATTTTAAAATCGAAAAAAGAAGGTGTTTCCTGAAAATCGAAAAACAATCGTTTCCCAGAGCAACGCTCAGATTAAACAATCTGAATGAGAGAGTTTCCTATGATTTTCTTCAACGGGAATTTATGACTAGATTTCATAAATTTTAAAAATTTGGGACACGATAATGCAATCAAAGTCAATACATGATTAAAATAAAACTAGTGTTCCGTGAGATACACGAGAAAACACCACAAACCACTCAATTGGGGCACCATTAATCCTCATCTCGTGTCTCCTGCTTCTTCGGCAACACATTTATTGTTCAGTCTTCTAAGAACTGGTCAGATCAAATGTACGTTTCAGGCTGAAATTCATTAATAGTGTATATAAGAATTGCACAGACCGGTGCATTGAAAATCGTTCCTCTTGTTAAATGTTTTTTTATGACGCGTTGAGGGGTACATAGAAAATTCCTTGCGTCTATGTATCTATGCGTCCGTCCCTCTGGTCTTATAAGCGCTCCCACATGTTTAATTCTTACCAAATATTTATGAAATTTATGTCAAAGATTTATATCAGCAACAATGTATAGGACAAGTTCAAAAACTATGTCATTTGTAGATATTATTAATATGGAAAATAGCATGGTAAGCGCTCTGAAGCCTTTATTTTTTGTTAGATTATTATAAAATTTATATCGAAAGATGACATCAGCACTGTCTGGTACGAGTTTGAAAATCATCGTTCATCAAAATATTTAAAAGGACTTTTTAATTTTAGATTTCATTGTAAGCTTTCTCATTTACAATCAAATTTATTTCAAAGGTTTAAATCAGAAATGTATCGGACAAGTTTGAAAACTAGTGCCAATCAACTTTTTTAAAAGAGATATTCCCTTATGAAATATCGATTATATAGAAATTTGTATTGTAAACACCTACATTATTTTTACAGGATTGTTTTGAAATTTATATGATAGATTCATATCAGGAATGTCTTGTGTGAGTTTGAAAACTAGAGCTGGTCTTTTATTTTTACAGGGGTTATCTTTTTTTTCAAATGCAATTTGTTATTGAATATTGCATTGTTAGCACTCTCACGCCTTCATTTCCCGAGGAGTTTTTATCAAAAGCTTATATCAGTAAAGTTTTGTGAGAGTGTAGAACATTTATTTTACAGAGTTATTCCCCCTCTGAAATAGAATTATATGAAAAAGAACATTGTTATTGATCTTACATTTCCTGTATGATATTTATTATAAAGTTAAAAGAGAAAATATTGTTTTGTTATTTCAGTATGAAAAAAAAGTGTACAACGCGGGGGACACTAGAACTATGTTTTTTAATTACCATTGAGTAATATCCCAGCAAACATATTTGAACGAAGTTGATAGTTTCATGACTAGCCTGTTGTTTTAGCTGAACATCAATTTGAGAATTTAACACTGTGTCCTTTTTACTTTTGAATATTATAAGAGAAATATTTTCTTGGTTTGAAGTAATCTACTGTTGGAATCGTATGGTGTTTACATATCTCAGTTGATACGTTTTGCTCGTGCAGTGAATATTCACACTATAAGGACTTCATATATAGGAGTGTGCTCCTTAATCAGAAACTGCTGAAACAGTTATGAGGAGGAAAGATTAAAAATGACACTCCGTAAATTTTATGGACACCATCACGAATTGATTGATCTATACGATGTGTCTGTGTCTAAACTAACTAACGACCTTTTTACCACATCTTAGATTGTGATTTACCATCTTCGTCGTCTGGTCTGCTAAGTACCGAACGTGACCTATTCCCGAATATGACTGTTTTCCCGAGAGTGAATTCGCATTGATATAAGACATGTCTCGTTATTTATACATTCAATACTCTTGTATTAAGTTATGATGTTTCGTTTGTAATTCTGGTTGAATATTGTGTTATGTCTTATCGTTTGTGGTTTGAATTGTACTTTTATTATCTACATGTATGTAAATGTTCAGATAATTAATCAGCTAGTTCATTTATATGATTTTTAGTTTAAAGCTACTATATGCACAGGATTTATTTGTTTTTACAGTTTTGATTTAAAAGAAAAACCGACATGGTTAGAAAATACAAATAATTACACAATTACTAACACAATTCTATATTGATATTCTTGTAATGGTTAGAAAATACATAAAATAATACCATTACGAACTTTATCCCAATTTTATTTCTATTTTTTAGAAATTTACCTGATATGTCACTTTTTGTGGCGTTGATACTTTCGTGTGACGCACAGTTCATAATTCTATTGTAGTGTAAATGGGAGGTGTCCGTTGTTATTCTGTGGTTAACATGTTGTAATGTACTATATATTATATTATTTATTTATGTATGTCTCTGTCCTGAGTGTTCTTGCGTTTAGTTGTAATGTATTCCTGTCACGTAATGTTGTCATTTTAGGGGTAATTTTAACATTGCTATATAAGCAAAGCGGGAGGTTTAACTAGCCATAAAACCAGATTCAACCCACCATTTTTTCTTAAAATGTCCAGTACAAAGTCAGGAATATGGCAGTTGTTATCAAATAGTCCGTTTCTATGTATGTTGGCGTTAGTTTTTGTAGCAGTTCAGTGTTTATGTTGTTCCGTTGTTTTCCACTTAAAGTTGATGTGTTTCCCTCGGTTTTGGTTTGTGACCCGGATTTGTTTCAGTTAAACCGATTTATGACTATTGAATAGCGGTATACTACTGTTGCCTTTATTAAGCAACTATTTGTATTCATATATCACGACTCTAAAGGCAATTATTTTGTAAATATCTTAATATCACTCAACTTGACTTACCAAGTACTTATATCCACATATTAAAGTCTTCCTGAGCAATTACGCCTGTTTAATATATTAACTTTATCATCCTCAAAATTCTATTTTTCAGATAACAACAGATATTGGAAATAAAACAACATTTAATTTTAACCAAAACTCAGCAGCAGCACCTATGGTATCTGGTGCTGTTGCTCTTGCTCTGAGTGCAAAGTAAGTAGTTAATGATGAGGGGGTCTTTGCTAGGTACAATAAGTATCACATTCATATCATCGTCAATTCATATAGTTTTTATAAATACTTCAGGGCAAGAAGTCGAATCACTAGTAAATCAATTTGAACTGAAACAAACAGCCAAACAGCCAAACAGCCATGTTGATCTGAAACTTTTATACCAATACATTAGTTTTGTATCAAAATGTCAAAAATAAAATCTATGTTAGGAGCAAGAAAGACAATATTCATAGATATAGCTACAGTACTAGATTCATAAATGACTTTTACGATTTTTTTAAAAGAAAATTAATCAACAAATGGACCCTATCTTATGTATACTGAGTAAATATCTCCAAGTTGCTACGTTATTCTAGAGCTTGCATTAACTATCTCGATGGAAGCTTTTAAATCAAGGGTTTCAACTGATGAAGTTGAAATCATTCTTTCGACACATTTTACGGACGCCACCACGAGTTGGTTAAACGTAATAAAATATCTGTTGCACACTTGACGACGGATATGTTTTATTGTCGTAACTACTATTTTGTCCATTTTACCTAAAACGTAACATTGCTGTATTAGACTTAATATTAATCCTTTTGACTTGGATGGAGAGTTGTCTCATTGGCACTCATACCACATCTTCTTATATCTATTAAGACTTATTAACGAATTGTTACTTACATGAGCTATACCACGGGTTTCACATGTTGAACAAGATCTGCTTAAACTTCCAGAGATTCAAAAATCCAACCCTCTGATTGTTATACTAGTTTTGCCCTTTTATTAATTGAAAAATCGACTACACCATCTCATTTAACAGAGCCTTTCAACAAAAATTTGAAAACGTAGATACAATTTCCTTGTTTTAGTTCATGAAAATTGTTTTTTGTGAAGAACCACACTGATTCCCACAAAAAATACAACGAATATGATATCATGACGTCTCGCTCCTTCTGGCGTACATGCAGTTCTTAAGTTTCTGTTTTTCTGAATTGCCTTTCCTGTATCGATTTAGGAGCTTTGAACTTCAATGAACTGCGGTCGTTTTAATCTGTACATGGATGTATTATTATACTTTCCGTCAATTTTTAAAGTATTTTGGAAATGTGATATACGGATATCACTGCGACCTGATTATAATAGTATTTTCATCAAATCTGTTGGAATAGTTTCTTAAAGTTTCAATAAGAATTGTTTTACTATGGCTGTTTAAAAGCTTGCCATATTAAATTGACATTTAAAAAAAAACAATAGTGACCTTATGATAATGTATACAATACAGAAGCCATAATTGGTTTCAGTATGTTGACTTTGCTGCGACATTGAGTTATACTCCTATTTATATTTCATCAGTGTTAGAACCCATAAAATGAAAAAAGCAAAAACAATGTATCATAACAGTTCGAAATTTAGACAAATCAACATTAATTAAACTAAAACAAACAACCAAACAAACATCACACAATAATAAAATGAATAATAAAACCAGACCTTCACAGATACTACTGTTTTGTTAGATAATCAACATATAAAGCTAAACGGATTTAGAATAAAATAATCAATCAAGTGTTAGATATACTGTATATATTCGGATCCATCACATTTTTTTTGATTGATAGTAATACATTTATTTTTTCAGTCCATCTTTAACTTATCGGGACATAATGCATCTGCTGGTAAACACGGCAAGAAGTGATCTCCTACAAAATAAAACAAAGTTCTTTGAAAATGCTGCTGGATTTAACGGTAAGCATGTAGAAAATAGAAATAGTTTATTGACGCAATGGATTGAAATTGAATTTAAAATCTATAAGAGATTTTCTTTTATAACAAATACATGTATGTCAGTTGAAACAAGTCTCGTTAAGCGGACACTCAATGTATATGGTCTATACTATATACATTGTGTTGAACACAAAGTATCTGCAAATACACCAAGAACTTTTAATACAAAGAATGCCACAGTAAAGGTGTTTTTTATATGTGCATATTTAATTTTCGAATATAATTATCATTATAAAAATAAAGAGATGTGGTAAGATTTCCCATGACACAACTATCCCCCAAAGTTCAAATGAAGTTGATGCAAGCAATCATAGTCAACCATACGGCCTTTACCAATGCAAAAAACTCATACCGTATAGTCGGCTATAAAAAGCACCGACATGAAAAATATAAACCAATTCAATTGGAAAAACTAACGACCTAATTCATAACAAAACAATTTACGAAAAATAATAAGACAGACATGAACCAACGACAACCGCTAAACTACAGGCTCCTGACTTGGGACAATATTCATTGCCATTTCGGAAGTCAGATTACGGAAAACTCTATTACATTGTAAAGTAGGCATGTTTTCAGTTCAAGCTAAAATTCGAATGATATTTTGTCAGTAAACAGCATATTAATGATGTCCTATTTTATTAGAATATCCAATTATTCAAAAAGAATCGGTTGCATGTCACGAGAAAAAGCAATCTGCATTGATACTTCAAAATAAATCATCGTACTATATATATTACATCTTCCAAACTTAATACTATCTATAGTGTCAGAAAAATGTATGGAAAAACTGGTCAAATTATCTTTCTAGCATTGAAAAATTACCCCCCCCCCCCACCCCTCTAACCCAAAAACAAATCAAATTTCAAGAAGCAGATTTAATAAAATCTAACATTCTTAACAAATATCTACAAATATGTTTTTAATGAAAGCAACACTATAATGACATATGTTGAACATAACTCTCAGTCCCCGAGGGTATCACCAGCTAAGTAGTAAGTACCGGCAAAGTTGACCTTAGATGGATTAGGCTATTTTTAGTCCCTTTTTCGTGGTAGAGCTCTTCAACTGTTTCAGTTCTTATACATCCGTGGCTTTCAAATATTTGGCTTTGGGCGTTCCTGATGAAGAAAAGCGCTTCGGATGCATACAATTTATAACGTGTTGTTTTCATTTTTTGAAATAATGCATACAAATTTACTCTACTAGTGCTTCTAAATTTGACGGTAAATATGAAGTATGTATGAATTGACAATCATGCCATATATCCTTTATTTTATACTTAATTTACTAGTTTGCTTTTTTTTTCGAATGTTTGTTTATTTAATTTTTTATAACAATTAAGGACTTGCTTTTATTTCAGTTTTTAGTGTTTAATAGAATATACTTAATACTAATTAATTAATTAATTAGATTAAAAGACAAAATGGATGTCAGTATAAATCCATGACAGGCACTTTTTAAACAGCATTGTGTGAAAATCTGTCAATGCTCCTAAATCCAAGGGTTGACTTTGGTATAGAAACGTCACATGGATTTCCCGGATTAGATAGGTAGTTGTGCGGGATTAAGAAATACGCAGCTACGTCCAGTCCATTGGAACGTTAAATCAAATGCATCGTGTAGGGAGAGAACCTAAATATATGTATATATATATATATGTTGGATTTTGTTTGGTTAGATGGTTAGTTTGTTTTTGTAATGTCTGCATTAGATGCTTGCAACTTGCCGTTTAGTGAACAACAATTATCAATAAATAAATCAATATTTAAAGTGTTTCGGGCACAAGAAAGCGGAAAGCTTTAAACATTTAATCAGGTGTTGAAAATTTTCTAATTCAGTATCATCATACTTTGGATTTGGATTACTTGATATCGGTACGCTAGTCGAAAGAAGTAAAACCTGGGAACTAGTCCCTGACAGACACAGTTGTCATTCAACAGAAATTGTTGACAGTCCGTAAGTAACAGTTTACATATATATATACATAAATATCACTTCGAAAATGAATTACTAGTCAATGACAACAAATTCGTCACCCGGTTTATAGACAGATTCCACTTAGCAAACACTTGAATAACATTAAATATACTATTTCCATATAACAGTGTTGAAGGAAAATCAGAGAAATAACAAAGAGACATTTTTTATGCATATATAACACGAATTTAAACAGGTAATTGTTTTTTTTAAATAACGGTTACATTTTAATATTCTAACGTTTACATAAGGAATGTGTTACATTTTATTTTCGCCTTACTTCCCTTGTTGCGTAGTGTGTTTGTAAGGTGGTGTTATAAATGACAACATGATAGGGTTTTATTGTACTGTGGATGTTTACTATGATTTGAAACAGGTAGGAATAATGTAAACGATAACTATACAACAATGCATTTTCTTCTCCTTTATTTTTTTTTATTTCAAATATATGTGTGTGTGTGTGTGTGTGTGTTTAAGAGAGAGAGAGAGTTTTGTGTATTTTTGAAATGTTTAATTTGTAGACAAATCTTGTTAGTCGAAAAACCCAGTACCGTTATTTTGATACAGAATTTAGATTATTTTTATTACAAAAACATTGTGTAAGTAGTGCAAATAATGAATAATGTACTAAAAGAAGTGATGTCATGTTGTATTACCTTTTCTCCAAGATTACACAATGTTCCTGCCTGCCCAAAATAGAAGGGTGGCCCGCCCTTGGTTCCCTTACCCCCACCCTTTTGCCCCCCCCCCCCCCAAGCAAAAAAATGCACCCCTCTGCCTTTTTAAAAGAATATTTTTTTCCAAATTACATGCCTATCGGCGTTTCCGGTAAAACTGTTACAAGATTGTGTAACACTCTTATTAACTGACAATGGCATAAAGTTAAATACCTTGCCTTTTGCAGTTTTATCACCTCTGTTAATGATTGTTTACTGCTAATTAGGGGATTTAAGATCATTGAACAAATACTGGATATTTAATACAGAATGAAAATGTCCACATGTTATCCATTTGTAATGTTTATGTACAGCATATACACCTGAAAAACTTTATTTAAGTAGGCATTAAATAAAAAATAAAATGTTTAAACAATTTCAAAGGCATACATAGTATTGACTAAATTGGTAACAAAATGTTTTGTTTCATAACCCTGAGTATGAAATTTAAAGAAATTCGTATTTTGAACATACACAAGATTGCACCACTTCCTGTTTTACTTCTTGTATTTATAATTCTCCTTACAGAGGAGCAATGGGAAATCAAGTGAACGAAAACAAAAGAAAATTCACTCTTCTTATGATGGAGTCGAGAAAGTCAATAATAACACAATGCCGGTGACGATAGTGATCAAAAGTTATTTCTATATAGTAATTGTACATTTTAAAGAAATTACTTTTTGAACTGTGTTATTAAAAATATACATGCAAATACACGATGTTTTATGTTCAGTATTTATCGAGATAATTGCATTAGAAGCTTGTGAAACTGAAATTAAAAAAATGCCAATCTTTGCTGCATATTAAAAAAAAAATAAAATCTAAAGATCTTTCGAGTCACCAACTTTTGGAGTTTTCCACAAAGTCCTTAGCATGTTACAATTTCCCAAAGTATACCTATTTTTTCACACCTAAGTTATCGCGCACACCGGTTTGCTCTTGTCATATGTACATTCAATAGAGAAATATTCTCTTTTCGTGAATATAAAAATTTAAAAGTCTGTCTGTGCCGGTTAAGAAATTAAAGATAACTGTTCTTATAAAGTAGGTATTTTTCTACTGTTTTTTTACAATTTTAAGAAAAGGTCGTCTCGGTTTTTGTACAAGTATTTGCGGTCTTCTCGATCTATTCACATTCAATGTTTACATCAAGATAAGGTCCGTTTGAATTTTCTTAGTAACTTAATTTCAAAAGTGCCAATCTTTGCTGCATATCAATCGATTCCTTTGGATTTTTTCCCCTGACTTTCTCTGATCTAGCTGTATATATATACGGATAGTTTGCATGTTCCAGAGAGGTATACAGCTAGTAGAAAAATAAATTGAAGTTGGTACTCCAGGAATTCATTCGCATAGCAACATTTAAAACCAATTTTACATCAAGCTTCTATATACTCGTCGTTTGCTACTTAAGGAGGGAAATGATAACATTAAATGGAAGTTTTGTTTTTATTTCAACTTATTTCTATTTTTGCTATTTACCAGAACGTTTTCCCGTGAATCCATAATTGATAGCGTCCTTACTAAAATGGGACAAACATTGAGAAGACAGTTTTCAGTGTTTACAGGGGAGGTAATAATTTGTCACTAGATTTCCCACCAGGAGCACTTAACAAATGCTTTTATTCTTAACAATTATGGAGAAAAAAGTAAGTTTCCTGTACTGAAAATACGGCAAAAAGTTAAAAAGACATTGATTAAACATATTTATATCCGCTAAACGAGCCCTTATTGAGACAAACTCAACATAATATGTTGCTCGGATTATGGAATCACGGTCATCCTTGTTATATGTTACGGTCATCTTGTAAAAATAATGATGATGAATTACGGTCATCTTAGCGGTTTTTTCAAATCGAATTTCCTGTTTCATATACATTTCTCAGTAGTAATTTGTGATTTCCGTGTGAACCTTCTATAAATCATACCAATATATGCTTTATATAGAATATATCATAGAAACACTTTAACAGACAATACAGATTCTTACCTAATTCTGCGTCCGCCATCTTGGGTTGACCGTGAATCAATTTACAGTCATCAGCTTTACCCCAGTGATTTTAAGGACATTTTGATTTTTTTTTATCTCTATTGCAAAATATATCTGACTAAAGGAACTTGAATTTTGAGTGAATTTTGAGTTTGCCATTACGCTGATACTCTACGAATCTAATACTTTACATAGGTAGAGGTTTACATTGTAGTTATGATAACATACTTTGAAAAATACTAGGCAGAGTTAACAAAAATAGTATTAAATTTCTTAAAATCCATGTTATGCTTTACAATATTTTGTGAAAATACCTTATTTTAAAAAAGATTGATTTCACAGAAAATAATCTTGTCACTAAGAGGCAAATTGATATTCAAATTTAACGATAGAAGTTGCAAGCACGTTGATCCACGTTGCTGGAATTCCGAGTAATCTTTTGTGCCCCTAACTGAATCTATGTAAACCATTTGTCAAAGATACAAGACTTACTGCAAACAACTTGGGTCTATTGGTCAAATTGACCGATGAGAACGTTAAAGGGTTTAGTACAAGTAAACTGTGTACAAGGGAAGTATAACGTTTATAAAATTTTGACATGTAGTTAATGTTATATGTTAGTGTGGTTAAATTGCCTGAAATTGTATGCTCGTTTTTTTCAAAGCAATATACAACCTAATACATGTATGATGATACATGTTAACTGAAAGTATATATATGAAAATGTATTTCCGTTTGATGCAAATAGTTGTCAGGTTTTTTTTTTTATTAATTTTAGACTGAATCGCCGCTCCAAATATTTTGCGGTAAAGGTCAATGGATGCAATGTTACTTATGTAGAACATATTGAAGTATCATTAATTGTAAACCATCAACATGCAGGGCAGATACAGTGGATTCTGGTATCTCCATATGGAACAAAGTCTACAATCCTTCCCGGTAGAGTTCTCGATCAGACGACAACAATGAAATTAACTGTTTTAACCGTTCAAATGTGGGGAGAAAATCCTGAAGGATACTGGAGATTAAAACCCAAACCTATGTTTGGTAAAACTCTGGGTAGGTGTAAACCAATTATTTATGATATTGAAATTCAATATATAACAATGTTTTCGATTTAAAGGCTAATATCTTCAACTAATTTTAAAATACTGCAAAATACGGGAAACAAAATTATCCACCCATAACCATAAATCAGCAACATAAGGTATTTTCCACAATTATTGGGGTTATCAGGACAACATTCACCAAGATTAGCAGATTTATATCTATTGGAGGTTTCTTTCGTGTTTATATCAATTTTACTCGGACGTCGTCTAGTATAGAAAGGTCCGAGACAGACCTCATCATGGACGTAGTGTCGTCTGAACTACAGGTGTCCCTTTATCATTAGATATGATAAATACCTAAAAAAAGACTCATATAGATCACTATACTAATAATAATGTCTTTAATCCTCACAATCGGACGTGTACAATTCTACTACAAAAAAATTTGGACTTTAATGACGTTGAACAACACTGTCTTATTTCTAAGTGTTAAACCAAAAACTGCAAAACATGTAAAATTCCAATAACAGATACTCAATTTACTAGCAATTGAACTAAAAATGGGTATCCCTATTTGCTACCGTACCAACCGTAGTACGAACTGGGAGCCGTCATTATACTTTTGAAAATAATTGATGTATTTACTTAATGTCAACGTATATTTTGTGAATCATAATCAAAAGTACTTGGAGGATTTTTAGCTGCAACTTAGATTTAATTCCACGTGGACATTTTTCGTAATTATAGCAAACAATATTGTCTATACTCATTATGCTTTCAAGCAACCGCTGTAAGTAACCGTAGCACGAACGGTTTGTAATTTTTGTAAATTAGATTTATTTCCCCTGAAATTGCAACAGCAAAACCAAGCTAAAATATAAAGAACATGTTTAATCTATCTGATTTCCATCCGTTATATTATAACAATATAAAATAAAAAAATGTAGAACTTTTTTGGTAACTTTTAGAAAACATGAACAAGTTTGAGCCGATTTAACATGCTCAATTAACCTCAGTAATAATGTATTAATGATAAAATGAAAATAAAACTACAACCAGTCATCCAAGTGCTAACACCTATAATATGATACCGATTTTGCAAGTTTCTCTAAAATTGTTAGAAATACATCAAGACCAAGTGGTAGTCTTGGACTGTTTTCTGCTTTTTTGTCGGGATGCTGTCGCTTTGACACAATCCCCTTTTCCATTTTCAGTTCTAGATATACATAATACTATATAGGTGATCCATTCTTACATTTTTCTGCGTGTTCACGAAAATCGTCTTGCACATATGTATGAGAAATTTTAACAATAATAAAAGTACGGAGAAAGGGTTAAATTAGAAGATTTACTTATAAACTATTTCAAGAACACGAGTGTCAGTGCAATTTAATATATTTATATACAATTAGTTGTAGTTGTTTTTTTAATTCAATGATTCTAGACATTGTAGGTTTTTTTTATTAGCAATAAAGAAGTGGATATTTATTTCTCTATATATTTCAGTTTACTTTTTAGAATGCATTTCTAGAAAAAAACGATCTTCAAGAAAGGTGTCCTTTTCTCACTCAATATAAAATCCCAGCTCTCTCATCTTTTCAACAATAACACATTCTGCTGTAGTGATCGAAATAGATTACTTAAATAATAATAACTAATTTTAAAAATCATACAAAATTTTGTCATGTTAACGTGTATAACACGACGTGTTTAAGAACGTCGTTCATAGATAGTATTTTAATCATTCGGAAATTCTGATTATACACGATAAACGTTAATATTCTTTATTTTATTTTCTATATATAAACAAAACAAAAGCAATGCCAATCAAACAGAACCGCAAATCTGTATCTAAAATCAATCAATTCGTTCATGTAAGGTCTGCTTGATTCATGCACTTATGCACTAACTAAATAATCTCATACAGAATCGTAAACAAAGTGTTCTAGAAACGGTGAAATCTTTATAAATAAAAACGTTAAGCTAGTTTTTGCTGATTTGCATTTCGATTTCTTTAATTTTATCACTTTTGATAAAATAATTTAATGCATTAAATGATGCTTCAATAACAACACTAACGGTTGAGTTACGTACCAACCGTACCTGATACCGTCCCGTAGCAAAGCGGGAAACTTAACAAATCTCGTCTACGGAAAGAAAGGCTAATAAACGTATATGCGGCCATAGATCAAACATTAACAACACTGCTACTGACATTGTTCACCAGCATTTTAATCAGTCTGATAATTTAATTCTTTGTATGCGAGTTTGCATCATTGGCAAAATATACCATGGAACTAACAGATCTCTTCTTGTCACACTTCTCCGTAGACAAAATAAATATTACTGCTTTCGAAAAATGGGAATTGCGTTATGATATGGTTACAATGACAAAATTGATGGTATAGGTATTCTATCTAGTCCTACTTGTAGCTCGGTGAATGTGATGAATATTTTCAACTGTGTTTCGCGATATAGACGCAGTCATCTTCATCGTCATTATAAATCACCTACTCTCCATCATGTCTCTTTAAATGCCATTCTGCTATTGCTACAGAAGCCGTTGTGATAAACCCATTCGAACGAAGGTTTCTTCACTTCCCCTCTTAAAAACTCATTCGTTGTACAATTTTTGTTTGTGAACCACTGTTACAAATCCCATTCAATTCCCAGTAAAAACATATAACTTCTATGCCATTTGGTCTCTAGTGGAGAGTTTTTCTCATTGGCAATCAAACCAGATCTTCTTATTGTTTGATATAGCTATCATCTATGATATTGCCAGTCACAGATTTTTAGGGACATGGTATAATGAGGACATTTGAATAAAACAGTTTTCAATTAAGAAAAAAACAGAGATTTGCATTTACAAACACGTGATACTGGATCTCAATATTGACGTCTCACTGCAAATTGTTTTATCCAAAGGCCCGAACTATTGTGAGTCTAAATCCATCAATTGGCAACACTACTTCAAAATACTGATGGATTCAGTCGAGGATTATGCCAGACAATGAGCTAAACGTAGAAAACGATGTAGTACTCCTTCAGAGTGGGTTAAGGCTGTGAGGTTGTTTATACAAGTTAGATTAAAAAACTGAATGGGTCAATGAATACACATGCTACATAGATCTTTAAATACACAAATGTTGTTAGGCACCTGTCCTACCTCCAAGACACATTTGTTGTTGTCGATTAAGCCCACAATAACATCGTGTTTGTGTGTATATCATTTTAAATAAATTGGTTAATAGTGAATTAGGTTTTGACTATTCACTTGGAAACTCAACATATACTACAACGAAACCTACTAAGGGAAAGGAATCCTGGTTATTCATAGTTCTGTTATATGTTTCTGTCAACCAAAGATGAACAGCAGGATCTTCCTGCACGTATTGACGGGATTGTGTTTACTTAAATTGGAGCTTATCCGTCCTCATCTGTGAAACAGATATTCCATCACGGTCAACCAACTTGTGTTGCTTACTAGGAAACTATTAAACCAAGAGTTCCAAGTGGCGAAGTTTGAGTCATCCCTTCAAAACCTGTACGGACGCCATCACGAGTTGGTTGCCGTTAATGAATATCTGTGAAGATGACAACTGATATGCTCCAAATTTTAGAACCACAGTCCCGTCCTCTTTTCCTCAAAGCTGACCGACTGATGAAGTAGACGTCTAACCGGATTTGTACTTATATGAGCAACACGACGGCTGACACATGTGGAGCAGGATCTGCTTTCTTTTCCTGAGCACCTAAGATCACCCACGGTTCGTTATGGTGTTAATGGGGTTCGTTTGTCTCAGTCTTTAGTTGTCTTCCGTCCGTTTATCGTTTTTTTGCCATGGCTTTGTCAGTTTGTTTTCTGCTTATTAGTTTGACTATGCCTTTGGTATCTTCCACCTCTCATTTACTCAATTTTATTATGTACTGTTTTACTTAGCTTTGTAAAAGTTAATCTAGATAGCAACGAAACTGCAGTTAGTCAGAAGTAGCCACAAACAATGAACAAAATCATGTAAGGGATGGAACACTTTCAAATAAATGATTTTTCTAAGAGTTCGAGATTACAAAAACTGCATGCTAACATGCAAAGGTTCATGTATAGCAACAAAACTACATATGTAGTATTTTGATCGTTACATAATTGTTTATCAGATATTTCAGATAAAAAATTGTAACAAAAAAAAAATCAAAGGAGGAGGTATGACATAAGTCAATCTTGCAATCTGATTGGTTAATTGGGCGGATCAAGGTTTTTTTTCAAAAAGGGAGGGCCGTAATTGAATTAAACTGAATAAATAAAAACAAATTGGACGATGTTATGAAAAAATATTATATACATTATCCAATCAAAGGGGTCCCCTTGAATCCGCTACTGAAGACTTTCGGCAAATATTGAAAAACTTTAAAACGCCATTTTTAAAACAATAGCGTTTGATTTATATGTTACCTTAAATTGGGCGAAAATTTACAAAAATAAAAAAAAGAGAGTTTTAGTATAACTGTATATCAAACTTTATTTCCCATAATTGTCTTTCTCGAGCTTACACTTACTTCATTTTATCTTCAGCACATTTGAAATATATTGTCAAATGATAGATTAGCATTTTGACATGTTGATTATAAATCTCTAAAATACTGTAAAAAAAAATAAAAAAAATACAAACCAGTAGAAGTGGAATGCCATTTTATATATCAAAGTTACACAAAACCAGAAACAAATAAGCGACAAAGTTTACTTTTTGGTGTGAATTTTAGATTTAAAAAAATAATAAACAATAACCATAATATAATGTGTTATCGAATAAATGGCTTGCAGAATGCGACTATTTTGTTATAGTTTGCGATGGATTTTCCAAATATACCTTCCTCTAGTTCACTTGAAATTATAGATTGTAGTAATTTTTTCTTATGTTTATTACATTTTAGATAAAGGCACTGTAAAATCAGTAGGACTTTTGATTCATGGATATAGTTGTGGAAATAACTGTACAGTACATCCTGCTAAACAAGGTAAATGTGTGAAAGTTAAAAAAATAAAAAAAACAATCATTCATTTAAATACAAAAAGTATTTTATCATATGCATGATATATAAAAGTAAAGTAAAAACCAAGAAGGCCGATACTAAGCATTATAACTGCAAACTGCATACATACAAGAATGTGTTGACAGAAACAGCATACAAAGTGAGAGAGAGAGAGAGAGAGAGAGAGAGAGAGAGAGAGAGAGAGAGAGAGAAAACTAAATAAAACTAATTATTGGCTATTTGGCAATACGAAACCAACCTCAAACCGGAGGTGACCTCATGTGTTTTGAAAGAATACACAGTTCCAGTTTTCCTAATTGCAAACGTCGTGTATACGTCGTGTTATTATCTGCGAGGAAAACAAGGCATAAGAATCGCATTTTTTTATGAAATGTCCCAATCGAGGAAGAGATGACAGGATTGTGTTAACGACAAGTGGAACTATATTGCCTTATCACCTTCTTTTTAATTTCGTTTTTATTTCAGTCAATGTTTTGTCATACACAATTTTGTTATTCCGTTATATGGCTGAAATTAACTGTTTCTAAATCTAGAGAAATTTTAGCTTACAAAGAATGTGGACACCCACACAACTTTTTTTTATGGTAGACTACTGAAATTTACTCTCAAATTATTTTGGTCCAAAAATCCAGAAGAAGTCAAATCTATGATGTACGGGGGGTGGGGGCAACTCTTGGTATTCATCTCATTAAAGACATAGGAAAATCATCGGTTTTAGAGAATAAAACTCTCGAACAGGAACGAACAAAACAAAAAATCTAAAAAAAAAATCTAATGTTTTCACAACATTTTCCTTAAACTTTTAAGCTATATATTTGAGCAAATAACCATGTGGTTGAAATAAAATCAAGAATTTTTGTTATTGTCTCTTGTTACAGGCATGTCAACTTTAAAGATAAATCCTGTTCAAAAAAGAATTACTGATTTAGCACTCAAACACTGAATTGAAACCGGCCTAATCATTATTTTAAAAACAAAAGAAAAAGTTCACAAGTTATTTAAGTTCACATTTGTTTATGGTTTTGTTTTAACACTTGTAAGAACCTGTGCAGAATGAGATAAACGTTATAACATTTATAGTTCATCAATTTGATAAGATAATCATCCAGTACAGATTGCAAATCATTTTTTGTATTTTACATTTTTATTTACAAGGAGATAGCATTACATATTATTTTTTTAATTTATTGGATAAATAGTACAAGGGAATTCAAAATTAGATTCAAGATTTTGAAACTAGCTCTAGTATTTATACATAGTTTAGCTAACCATGGCCTTCATACATTGCAATTTTATTTCTGTATCATAATTATACAGTACAATAGAAGAAAAATTATCAAAATAAACTGTATAGATTTCTATCCCCTTTTCCTGGAACTGTTTTGAAAATGATCAAATATATTATTGTGGATTCATTTATTTTCGTGGGTACCAATTTTCGTGCATTGAGGAAAACTTACATATTCGTGGATATGTGATTTCGTGGTTTTGCTTAAGTCAGCATATATTCCTATAAAACATTTGTAATTCTTTAAACTTTAAATTCGTGGTTTCCCTGTACCAACGAAATCCATGAAAATTGGTATCAACGAATAATAATGAATTCAAAGTAACATAAACAGAGACGTAAAGTATATTATGTAAACATAATATGTCTGTTTGGGTTGTCAATATAACGGAACTATAAACAATTGTAATACAAGTGGGAGGTTAAGCTAGCTATAAAACCAGGTTAAACGCTCTGTTTTTGACTCGTTCCGTTGGTTGATAACGTTTATTTTTAGTCTATTTTTATGGACTTCCCCTTTTTCAATTTACCTTGGAGTTCGGTATTTATGAAATACTTTTTTACATATAGTCTCTGCCTATATTTTTCATTTAGATCTGAAGAAAAATAAAATCAAAATTTATTTTAAGTAAAAAGCTATTTAATAATTTTAGATATTTCACTTGTAAAAAGAGCTGTGGTACTAAAATGAGGAAGCTTCAAATGTTCCATTAAGAAGTGTATGAAGTGTCAACAAAGGGATATAACCCATAAATTTGATCGGAACCGCGTCGTCAAAAATTTGACAGATCGAAATGTCACATTGCGTATAACAGCATACAAAATGGCAAAAATTGGTCACAAATCAGTTCATAAAAAGCATCATCAAGTTATTTAAAATCAGCATATGTTTCCAATAAGTTAAAAAAGAAAATTCAGCTACTTTCTTGAAAATATTGGCGCAACGGGTGACGACCGTACGCAGTTGTCATGACAAACGGACAACATGCATTGATTTTAGTTGATACGAGTTTTCGAAGGAAACCGACTCATTTCAGTTGAACCAAACATTTGATTAAATATGGTGGCCATTTGATCTCCATTGTTGCTTTTTAAAATGGATTCATATTCTGGACAGCTTTTCAATTAAAAAGTAGGTACCGTTAGGATAAATACACGAAGTCTCATCTTGATTTAAATTAAGATTGGTATCATTTGTGAGAAGTAATTAGTCTTCAAAATTATCAAGTCATCGGAAGAAGGAACAATGGCTTCTGAGTTAGTGAATCTTTCACCCCAGTATCCCATGCTGTTGAAAGATTTTAGAGTCTAAATATATCACTTTTCAATGCTTTAATTTCACTTTAGACATTACAATCACAGGTACATAACAACATTAACGGTACAAATTTTACTGCGTCAGATGTGCATTTCGACAATTGTTGCAATTATTTGACCCTTACCATAACAGTTTATCTGAGGTAATTTTCGATGGTATATATGTGATATATCGTCTTGATGTGGTGCACCTATCTACCAAAAACGTTACCTCAAGGTCAAACATTAATTTCACATGAATGTCATGACGACAAGCGACACACACTTTTATGAGTATTCACCAATATATCAAATATCAAACCTACATGGAAAAAAGATCATTAAGTTTAAGCTCTAAGAAGGTTTTTATTTCGTCTTATTTGTACTTCGATTAACTTCAGTTTGTCAGCATAACGAATAAAGTCATATAATAAACATTTTAATTATCATGTGTTGACAACAGTTTCTTATAACAAGACCAGAATGTGTAGATGGATGTTTCTGTTTTAAGCTCCAGGAGATTGGAAAAAATGGTCCCGATGGTCAGAGTGTACGGTTTCATGTGGAAATGGAACTCAAACCCGAAGTAGACAATGTAACGACCGCAATAATTTCAAATATTGCTCAGGCGAAAATTTTGAGACAGTCCAATGCGACCAAAGTGAATGTCAAGTTGATGGACAATCTGGTAAGATTATCATGTTGCTCCATAATTAACATTGATTTGGCTATTTTTAGGACGCTTTTTGGTCATATAGCTCTTCAACTGTGTCGGTTCTTATACATTCGTGGCTTTGAGCGTTCCTGACGCTTCGGACGCATGAAATTTATAACGTGTTGTTTTCATATTTTACAAACGCAACAAATTAAAAAAGTAAAGGTTTTCTTGTTTAAGCCCATCCCGAATCAGGCACATTGTCTTAAAGTACACTAATTTTAGATTTTGTTGTTATTTGGAGAATTTAATGTTGACATATATAATATTGTCTTTTTTATTATCTATTCCTCACAATTGTAAACTCCAGGCGGTTTATGCAATTTTACTAAACCCGTGGTTTTTTTTTACCACTGATTATTATCATCTAGATTTCGATCGATAATTTGTGTTGCTTTTTTCCTTCACATTTAGATTTGAACATCGATAAACGTCTTGCGCCTTACTTCATGTATTAATCACATCTACTTTTAAGTATATTTGCATTAAAATTAGATTAAAGTCATAATGTTAAACAAGCATTGCATGAATATATATCCTTCATATAACTGATTGTGTTTTGGTGTTGAAAGCACAAGCAAATACAAAGGTTATGTTGAAGTGGTATACATGGATAGGATTACACGGAATTAATATGAAATGAAAAGTAGAATGGTTTCAAATTTTGATTGCAAAAGGATATCGAATGTTGGTTAAGGTAGAAAAACAGTCATTGTATCGTCTCCGAAATAGTTAATTCGTAAAGCTTGAAGCTCGAGGGGCCTCTGTGCTTGAAGAGTGGCACTCACAAAAAACACTGGAAAATCAGTTACTTGTGAAGGACAAGTTGCATATTTGTTACGCCCAATAACAGACATGGCTTCTAGATAGGAATGTACCTTTCGTTTAAGTTATACATAGCGTGATTCCCTTAAAGCTTCTGTATGTGATTCAAATACAGTACAATCTACAGAATGATATCAACATTTTTACTTTTTTCACTTTCATTTACAAAAGACTATTGACTTATATTAATTATAATCTTAAATTGAGGTCAAATGTTCAACCGTTACAAAGTTGTTTTTTATATGAATCCCATACATTTACAGTGAATTGATTTAGTGAATTTTAGCTACGTCGAATTTAAGACGAATGTGTAAAACAGTGTCCAGGTGTCAGTAATTGACTCGAACACGGAAAATGACGACGTTATATTCACTTACTATACAACACAATATAGTAAACTCATTAGTTTGCATACCAGGCCAGCTTCTTATAAAACTTCTTATATATGTAAATGTCTTTCAGGAAAATCGTCCCCTTTGTCAAAAAAGTGCCTTTCTTTTTCCTTTTCGATACGGCTTTTACTTTTTTTTTTATTTAACCCTTAACTATAGGTAGTCAGTCGGTAATCAATTTGTCTTGAAAAATAATACAGTTGTGTTAAGTTCTAATCTCACTTTAGAACTATCAGAACATTCTGTCAATAGATCTTCTTAACTGCTCTAGAACAGGGGCAATTAAAAAACTAAACATCGATATTTGTTTCAAGTTCTTTCTAAGTAACGACTTGATTCATGCCTTAAATGAAATTTTAATATTTTTGAAATAGTGCACACCATATAAGATTCGTCGTATAAATTACGTAGACTCTTCGATGAACTTGTTGAAGCACAGTTGAGGGACACCGTGTGTTACATTAATGTTGTATCTTTACAGAAGTTAGATCTGATGAATGTCCATCGCCATCTCATTTAACAGACAGCTGTGTAGAACAGTGTACTAATGACAGCGATTGTTCTGTACAAGAGAAATGTTGTTACAATGGATGTGGGCATACATGTGAGATGTCAAGAGCAAGTAAGTAGCAGAAGAAAAATAAACTTCTTATGTGGTACAGTTACACTACTATCCCAGGTAAGGGGGAATTTTGCGCATTCAACCTAGTTTAACCCCGCCACATTCTGTATGTGCCTGTCTTATTTTAATTTTGATATTAACATAGAAGCAGCACACAATTACTGTAATATACAGTGATTGACATGGACATGGACATTGATTTTTTTTTACTAAGGATATTATGCTTATAATGTATAATATATATGAATTGTCATTTAGAAAGGTCGTATCATTTGTCAAAAATATTTGCCTTCGTGTACAGGTCTGAAATAAAGCGTATATGTTTTTAAATTATTACACTGAACATAGATAGTCAGTCGGTAATCAATTTGTCTCGAAATGAATCCATTGTGATTAGTTCTTATCTCTATTCAGTACCACCAGATTAATCTGTCATGGACCGATTTGAACTTTTTAGAACAGTTTTACCCTAGAACAGTTCTGCCTTAGAATCTGCCAGAATCAGCTTTCAGCTCTAAGCAAGAACTTTCCAAAACTGATGTAAGGTATAACTATCGAAATCTGGTTGATGGTAAAACTGTCAAGATATGTTCTAGGGTACAACAGTTCTAAATTATGTAATTCAGAGCAGCCCTAACTGTGATTTTAAACAAATATAGATGATGAGAAAGTGAAAAGCAGTTAAACGGATTTTCCTTGTAAAGCATATTTTAGATAATAGTAAAAGTCTTTTTGGTAAAAAAAGTTAACAATATTAAGTTTGGATGTAATTAAATTCTGTTTTTTCTCCATGTTTATCATTATCAAACATATTGTTAGTAGTATAGAATGGTGCTTAGATAGCAGAAGACATTTACTTCTTATGTGTTTGTAATCATTATAAGGAATAATATGGTCTATTGTGGAAGACAATTTTACAGCTCCGAGAGCACTGACGGTGTTGACAACAAGTAACAACTAGGGATAAAAAGTAAAATAACAAAAACACCGAACTCCAAGGAAAATTCAAAATGGAAATTCCCATATCAAATGGCAAAATCAAAAGCTCAAACACATCAAAGGAATGGAAAACAATTGTCATATTCATGACTTGGTACAGGCATTTCCTTACGTAGAAAAAATGGTGGATTAAACCTGGTTTTATAGCTAGCTAAACCTCTCACTTGTATGGCAGTCGCATAAAATTTTCCATTGTATTGACAACAATGTGTGAACAAAACAAACAGACATAATAGGTAAAAATGTCAAAAATAGGGGTACAGCAGTCAACATTGTGTTATAATCTTTATCACTATAAAAACAAACAAATATGTCAACAAAGAAAAATAAAATGCATATAGACAAAGCACATAAGCAAGAATGAAAGACAGGAATACAAAAAATGACCATAGCACAATAACATAATAGCGGTATGTATAAGTACCGAGCCAGACCAAAAGGATATTACCAAAAATGAACTAAACAATAAAGTTTAATAATTTTCAAAGACAAATAAAAGAACACTATAACATGTTATTAAGATGATAAACAACGTCAGTATCTAGAATCTATACTTCAAGACCATCATGTATTATTTGTGAAGTTGATACGGAATATTTATTAACAAGGTCTTGGTATCTTCCGATGAACGTTTTTAGAAAAAGGACGAGACGTTCTTTGCCATAACCCTGGTTCGTCAACCTTCTGCCTTACAACATATTCTTGAATACCGAATGAGTTGGGAAATATATATCTCATATGCAGGCGAAGTTAGTATATTGCTACTAAAGTGAGGGAAATTGATAATTTGAAAATTAAAATAGTCTCGTTTGTCATAAATTATGGTACTGAGATGACCGCTTATTATGTCAAATTCGAGGAATAAGTCTAAAAATTATCTAAATGAACATTACGACATTATACAATCGTATGTAATGAATGATGCATATGCGGTTTAGTATTAAAATATAAATGTTGGTTTACCCTTAAAACAACGGTTCACAGAACTAATAAATGAAATAAAAAGAAATTAATAACAATTGAAAAAAATGAACAATTCTAACAATAATATTCTGTTAGAAATAATACAGATAAATCAAAATAAAGGGAAGAAATGATATGAATTATAAATGAATAAAGTAAATAAATGAATATATATAATCCGGATATGGTGTACCAATGTTTGCACCTCGTGTTTGCGGTATACCATCTTTTCCGCAAGATTATTGTTTTCTGTTTGGTATTAGATTAATGATTAAGATCCATTTTGTTACATCTGGTGGTCAAGTGTTTAAGAACTCCGTTGTTCGACCTGCTAGTCGAATGCGTTTTGTTAAAATATACTTTTTCACTTTTTTGGAAAATGTTGTTTGTGCTGTATTTAGACCCCTCTACCAAGAAATTTGTTTTGAATGTACACGTATAAAAATTAGGGTTTTTATCCAACGCTATCATAGGTTTGAACGTTGTTTTCAATTAAGACTTGTTTATTTTTTTTCGTTTGGGCTTGTATCATATTTGCCTTCGGGTTTATATAATCCGTTCATCCTATTTCGACTCTTCAAATTTCAAGAGTCAATCCAAAATTAAGGTAAATTCTATGGCCTTCCAAATACCGTTTCGATTCCTAACATCACTGAAGTGACATTAATTGTCGAAATCCGGATATGGTGTACCAATGTTTGCACCTCATGTTTGCGGTATACCATCTTTTCCGCAAGTTTATTGTTTTCTGTTTGGTATTAAATTAATAATTAAGATCCATTTTGTTACATCTGGTGATCCGTTTATCTACCAAGAAATTTGTTTTGCATGCACACGTATACATATTGGGGTTTTTATCCAACGCAATCATAGGTTTGAACGTTGTTTTCAGTTTAGACTTGTATATATGCATATATTTATATTAATGAACAAATTAATCAAATCAACAAATAGAATAATAAATAAAATAAATAGATAACTATATAAATAGAAAAACTGCCTCCCCTCATTATTGATAGAACTGTTATGATGTGTTTTCGGGTAAAACCGTCTACAACATTTTTCTAAGGTAAAACATTTCAAAACTATTCCAGGGTAACACTGTCCGAACTGGTCAAATCTCTCAAAAACTGCTGCAGTCAAACCTTTCTAGCGCAGAACAGCTTCTCGTAGAAACTTTTCTCAAAGTATCATATTGCTTTAATACAGTTCTCCTGGAAGATTTTAAGAGAGTTTAGAAGTTATATCGAACTGTCATCGCAATTCTTTTATTTTTCGCATCTCTGTATTCAAAAACTAATCTTACTACAAAATTGAGTTACCAACAAGACTTTTTAAACTTTTAACATGTTTTTCCCAGTTTACGGAACACCAGATGTCGCCTCTACATCAGGGTCAGGTATGCACTTGGCAAAAATAAAAAAAAACCAACATTACATGCATTATTTATGTGCAAATATATGAAATTAATACAGGATGTTTGTATTTAATTATCCGATTTTCATGTAGATTACCATAATCTTTCAAAATGTTTAAGTTTCATTTGAAAACTAAATATCGATGATTGTGTCACGTGTTTTCCATGTAACGGCAAAATTCTTTCCCTTAAATGACATTTAAAAATCTAAATAGTGCACACCATATAAGATTTACGTACACTGATCTTGCTGAAATATGTGATTGTAAGTTTCGATGAACTTGTTGAAGCAAAGTTGAGTGACATCGGGTGTTACATTAATGTTGTATATTTACAGAAGTTATATCTGACGAATGTCCATCACCGTCTTTTTTAATAAACAAGTGTGTGGAACAGTGTTCTTTTGACAGCGAATGTTCTGTAAAACAAAAATGTTGTTACAATGGATGTGGGCATTCATGTGAGACGTCTACAACATGTAAGTACAAGGAGAAACATGAAATATTCATAGTAAAAGCTCTCTCTCTCTCTCTCTCTCTCTCTCTCTCTCTCTCTCTCTCTCTCTCATACATCCTAGTTAACTTGCGATTAAGGGATTAAGGATATTACTTAAACTAAAAGATATGATCAACACCTTGATCTTTTCCTCGTTATTGACACAGATGGACGACTTCAAAGTATAATCTTTGACTAAACTGATCTCAACATTCCAATTGTTAACTTCCAATTCCAGTAATATTCTCTCTGTTCAATCGTATAGCGTTTACTTATCTTGATTGATGCGTTACGCTCGTTTATACTATACGGGCTTAACAGGGATAAGGACAAACGATTGAAATCCATATTGCATACGTTTTACGGTCATCTTTATGAACTGGTTGTTCGATACCATTTGTTTGTGTCGTAACTCAGTAGAAGTCTTTTACCTGTAGATACCAAAATCGTCTGCTCATCTATAATTGTAAAGAAATATCCTATTCCCAATTTCGACGTTTTTTGACAGAGTGAAGATTCGTATTGGGGTGATGCAGAAATAACAGGAGATGCTTATCCTTTTGGAGTTCATGCGATTACATCACTTTGTGTTTGTTATATTGATTTGTCTTCTTACATCGGTAAATTATTTTTGCCTAATCTATACATTTATACAACAAAAATAATTAAAAAAGAATAAGGACAAGCAGGAACCAACTACAACTACTATATTACAGGTTTCTAGCTTAGGTCAGGCACAAACAGCATATTAGAGAATTTGTTAGTGAGCACTCAATCCTCTCCTTTATCTTGCACAGTGGTGCAACAACACAAAATTAGAACAAAATGGCAAAATCTATTAGAAAGGGCATGATTCAATAATTTTGACATGCTCAAAAACTGCTCTACAGTACTGTACTTTTCAAACAATATCAAGGCTTCGATATTTTATTTTTACCTTTGTTTAACGTAAATTTCACCGTACGAACTATCGACGAACGGACAAAGCAGACATTAGAGATAATTTGCTTTTGAATGATACATACTAATGCCGTATGTCAGGTGGTTACATTAAAGTCGTTAACTAAAAGGACTTTTGATAAAAAAAACACTCGACTATAATTAGTTTCAAAAAGAGGGGAAAGATACCAAAGGGACATTCAAACTCATAAGTCGAAAACAAACTGACAACCCCTTGGCTAAGAAAGAAAAAGACCAACAGACAAACAATAGTACACAAAACACAACATAGAAAACTAAAGACTGAGCAACACGAACCCTACCAAAAACTGGGGGTGATCTCAGGTGCTCCGAAGGGTAAGCAGATCCTGTTCCACATGTGGCACCCTTCGTGTTGCTAATGTTAGTACAAACCCGGTAATAAGTCTAAATCGGTAGGCCACATTCGGGGAAAAGGGGACGGGATTGCAGTTACGACATTTTGAACATATCCGCTATCGTATGTGAAACGCATATTCCATAACGGTCAACCAACTCGTGATGGTGTCCGTAAAATTTAGGAAGGGATGATTTCAACTACACCACTTGGAACTTTTGGTTCAATAGCTTCCTTGTGAGCAGCAACCCTCTATCAAGAAAATCATGATCGGAAATACAAGCCTTGGAATATCGTAAGAGGGGCACAGTTGGTTCCAATGGGAATGCCGATTGTTTGTTGAAAAACACGTTCTCCAAACGTAACAAATATATTGTCAATTAAGACATCAAGCATCTTGAAAATGTCAGTTTCAGAGAGTTTTTTGTTTAAATCAGAGTGATTTTTTACAAAGTAGGATGTATCCCTCCCCAAGACAAGATACTTGTATCTACTTTGGCCATTCGTTTTTATGAAACAAAGCATGAACAACTCTTTCAATTTGTCTTTTAGTTTGGAATGGGGAATACTTGTGTAAAGTGTAGAAAAGTCAAATGTTTTAATACTTTTGCAAGATGAAAGAGTCTTAGATTGTATGCACTCTAAAAGATCTTTGGGATTTTGTAGTATCTACATTTGATTCACGTCAACCCTAGAATAGGTAGTTTCACAAGTTTTACTTTGAAGACCGGCTTTGATTGCTGATAAAATTGATGTTAATAATTTACAAAGAGGTTTTGTGAAGCACTTGGAAGACCCAGCAATATACCGTTGTTTGTAAGGACACTTATGTAGTCTGGGTATCAATCTGGATGTCGAGGTTGTCCTAAAGTGTACTGAATTAAAGTTGATCTGCATATATGAATCTCATTTTGATTCAATTCATTTGAAACAAGTTTAATATATTAACGTGTGATCATACCCGGTTTTTGGTGGGTTTCGTATTTTTTGTTTTGTTTTCTATGTTGTGTTTTGAAGACTGTATGTTTTCTCTTGTTAGTTTATCGTTTTTTACATGACATTGTCAGCTGGTTTTGGACTTATCATTTTGACTATTTTCCGCCTCTCTTTTCTGGCATGTAAAAATATAATCGAAATATCAGAAAAAGTATAAAACGTTATTGACTAAGTATTATAACGATAATAACAATAAAAATCCGTACTTAATCAGTTAAATTCTAAATATCGTACGAAGTCCTTCAGCATGTTCAAGTTTTTTTAGTAGTGTGTTGCATTCCAATAATCAATAATATATACTATTACATTTTTTCTATTTCTTTAAATTCAAGTTTAGTCCACTTTATTTGAACTGTGGTGGATAGTTGTCTCATTAGCAATCATACCTCATCTCCTTATTTTTATACTAGTATGATGTTGCTGTAGAGGAACTTTGAAATTATGAAGTATACCTTTTTCTTTTGTAATTTATTGATTTAATTATAATCCATTATTTCTATTTGTAGATCTAACATCACAAACAGTCATAACTACGCCTGAACAAGGTATACATTTTATAAATATCTTAACATTGAGTTAACATTTATTTGTCGGTTATAACTGTTTATATATATGATCGAATGATGCTTTTTATAGTAATGTTTTCTTTTTGAAAATGGGGACTTCATAATATTTTTACCAGTAATAAGTCATATACACTATGTTATACTATAGAATAGATGTTCTGCTCAATTTATTAAAATCCCTAATAATCTTGTTTCCCTTTTCGCACAAATTCATCTTTCCACTGTTCGTTATCACGGTTATATACCTAAATGGTGAAAAGAGAATATAAAATTACAAAGATGCGGAAATACAAATATGATGTTTAAATATAGATTTATAGTTTTATTATGTTGGAAGTCTAATCCGTTTGAAATACAACACTTGTTCCTTCACATGTCTTTGATACTGTAACAAAACTCATACTTAACGATCAATTAATTTCTAACTTGCTGATGTTGATGATCAATTTGAAATATTTTACATGGTTGAAATGCCGAACTATAATCAAGTTTTTGATGCAATACCAAATAATTAGTATTAACATAAAGTCTTCAAACCAAGTGCTAAAATGCTGCTAAACCCCGTTCCGAAATTAGCAAATACGAAAACGCATACATCGGCGAACTGTCGACATGTGAAGCTTAATTTTATTTTAATGATTGTCGTCCTGTCGTTCATTAAATGTTATATATAATCGTCATTTTTATTTCTAGATCAAACAACAAAAACATTCAGATCTACGTCGGAGCAAGGTATACGGTTTATAAATGTTTTACCGTTGAGTTAACACTTTGTCTCCGTGAAAACTGTTTTTATGACCGAATGATGTCATGCTTTTTTAAAATAATATTTTCTTTTTAAAAATTATGACTTTATAATTTTTCTAGTACCAATAAGTAATACACGATCTCATATTATAGACAAATATCTTCTGATTAATACATGATAATCCCTAATAATCTTGTTCAACTTAGCGCGCAAATTCTGTTCGTTATAAACTTAAATGGTGAAAACAGAATAAAAAAATACAGAGATGCAGTAAAACAACTATGATTTAAAGCATAGTTTTATAGTTTCAGTATGATTGAAGTCTAATCCGTTAAAAATACAACACTTGTTCCTGCATATGTCTTTGATACTGTTACAAAACGGATATTAAACGATAAATAGTTTTAACTTGCTGACGTTTATGTTCAATTTGAAATATTTTTACATTTGTTGAAATACCTAACTATATAATCATGAAGTTTTTGATACAATACCAAATAATTGATATTAAGATAAAGTCTAAAAAACAAGGACTAAAAAGCTGCCGAAACCAGTTCATAAATTAGCAAATAAGAAAACAACATACATCGCCGAACTGTCGACATGCAGAGCTTTATTTTATTTTGATAATTATTATTATATCTATATTTGATGAAAAAAGAAGGATACATGTAAATATAAATCAAAAGGTATGATGTTACAATACATGGGTTAATAAGTCACAGAATAGCAAAGTCCAGTCGATTTCGTTAAAAAATTAAAAGTTAAACTGAGAAACAGATACGAAACTAGCAATGTTAGACTCCTTTAGCTTTGTAATAGTTAGTTTCATTCATTCTAATAATCAATAATATATTATCAGTATGATCTTGCTGTAGAAGAACATTGAATTATATAATCTTGAAAAATACAATTTCGTTCTGTCGGACTATACATGATTTATCTAATCATCCTTTTTTTTTTGTAGATCAAACAACACTAACAGTCAAAACTACGTCTGAGCAAGGTAAACATTTTATAAATTTTATAAATAATGAACCATTAAATATTTGTTTCGATGGAAACTGTTTATTTGAACGAATGATGTCATGCTTTTTGTAGTAATATATTTTTTTTGACTTAGATGACCTAATTATATTTTCTTTAGTAGCAATACTTTTTATGATGGAAAATATATTCTGATTAATAGATGAAAATCCTTAATAATCTTGTTTCGCTTGTTGCTCAAATTGATAATTCCACTGTTAGTTATATACCTAAATGGTGAAAACAGAAGATAAAAATACGGAGATGCAGCAAAAGAAACATGATGTTTTAGGATAATTTTTTAGTTTTAGTATCATGAAAGCCTAATCCGTTGAAAATACAACACTTGCTCATATAAATGTCTTTAAAACTGTAACAAAACGGATACAAAACGATAAAAAAAATTTTTTTTAACTTTCTGACGTTAATGATCAATTTAAAATAGTTTCACATTTGTTGAAATACATACCTTAAATCGTGAAGATTTTGAATCAACACTAAATAATTGGTATTATGTTAAGGTTTAGATAAGAAATGCTAAAGAGCTGTTGACACCTGTTCAGATATTAGCATATAAGAAAAAACAGCCATCGGCCATCTGTCGACGTGCATAGCTTTATTTCATTTTAGTAATTGTTATTATATCTATATTTGATGATAAATGAACGACACAGGTACATATAAATCAGAAAGTATTATGTCACAATAAATAGGATTAATAAGGCACACGAGACCACGTTTGGTCGATTTCGTGAAAACATTAAGTGAACTTCAGAACCAGATACGGAACTAGCAACGTTCGACTTTTCAGGTTTGTAATAGTGTGTTATATTCATTTTAGTGATCAATAATATATAATCAGTATGAACTTGCTGTATAAGAAATTTTGATAACATAATTATAAAAAATGCAATTTAGTTCTGTCGTGATTTAAAAGTTATATCTAATCATCATTTTTATTTGTAGATCAAACGACACAAACAGTCAGAAATTCGACTGATTTTTATAGTAATATTATTTTTTTTTGAAAATGATGACTTTATAATATTTCTACCAGCAATAAGTAAAATACACAATTCATACTATAGACATGATAGAAACAGATCTTCTGCTCAATTTATTAAAATCCCTAATAATCTTGTTTCACTTGGCGCGTTAAATTCTGACCATCGTACAAACCTGGTAAATGTAAATTCGTTCGGGGTTATAATAGTGTATTGCAATTAAAAAATCAATAACTTGAAGCACTACAAATGTCCAAAAGTCTGAAAAGACCAATGTTTGTCTCAATTTGCATAAACAATTACTCGACATTCTCCAAAATTATGACTTGTGTCTTAATTTTTCTTGACAATTTCTGATTTATATTAAATTTTGTATGAAATCTACTTGACAATTCTCGACATTCTGAATATGGTCTTAAAATTTCTTGACAATTCTCGACATTTGAATACTATCTTAAAATTTCTCGACAGATTCTCGACATTCTTTTTTTTCTCAGTATTGCTTGACATATTCTGAACATTTTGAATTGTGTCTTAAATATACTTGACAATTCTGAGCTTTACAAATCATGACCAATATACATGATATATCTTTATCTTTATTTCTCTCTATAGAATATACTGTTATTTCAAGTTACACTTATTACAACAAACACAAAAGTTGGGCATGTAAATATTTTAATAATTAAAAATTTGGGTATCTAAATATTTTTATAAATACAAAGATGGGTATGAAAATATTAACAAATACAAATGTGAGTATGTTGATATAAACCAATTTAAATTTGGGTTGGTAAATAATTACAAATGTTGATTTATAAATCTTATAAATAATTGCTTAATGATTTAAACAAATCATACTGTAGACATATTTCATTTTTCATGCATAATATTCAATGTTAATATAGTAAATAAACTATTATTGTACCAAAATGTGGCTTTTCATAATTAGCAATGTATTATTGTATCCTAATTCTTCTAAGTTTAGTTTAGCGATAATAGAAATGAGTATAAAACAGCAAAAGAAAGTGTGTAAACTGTCAGGAATGTGTCTATACACAATTCAGGCGGGAGTAGGTCCGGTAAGGACCGATTTTGGCCTCAAACTTCAAGTTTATCTGATGAAAGATTTTGGACACTTTTTAAACACTTAAGTGTCTACTTTATTAGATTCAATTAGTTTATGTGAAAGTTTTGGACAGATTCAGTCATTAAAGACGCTCAAATTCAAGCTTAAATATTAAAAATCTATCAAATATGCCATAATATGTCTCTTTTCAGATGGTTTTTGTCAAAAATGAAAGTGGCCGCATCCGTGTTCATCCTCAATCTTTATATATGTTATGTATTATCATCAAATACAACTTACATTTAAATATTAAGGATGAACACAAATGCGGCCACTTCCATTTAAGACGAAAACCGTCTAAAAATTCACTCAAATGCTCAAATTGTGAAGATTTCAGTAATTTAGCATGACTTAACGATGCTAGTACCCGATACATGTGCATTGTATTGTCAAAAAAGCCCATATTTATGTAACAGAAGTATTCTTCTTTCCAATAAATAGCTAAAAGTTAACATTTTAACAATTTTTTAAAACTGCTATATTTTGGGGCCAAAAAGGGGTCTTAGTGGACCTACTCCTTTATACTGTTGAGATAGTGTCAAGACATCTTTAAGACCGCTAAGAATGTGTCGAGATATATTCAGACAGCTTTCAGACTGTCAAAAATGTGTCAAGACATATTCAGACATTATTAAGAATTCAAGAATTTGCCAAGACTGATCGAGACAAATTTAAGACAGTCGAGAATTGGTCAAGACTAATCAAGACACTTATCAGATGATAAAGAAAGTGTCGAGAAATTTTTAGACAATGTAAATACTGTCAAGACATATGTCAAGAAAAATCAAGAACTTGTTTTAGACAAATTCAGACTTTGTCAAGAATTTTTTTTAATTTTTCAGACAAAGAGAGAATGTCGAGTAAACATTCATGCAAATTCAGACAAAAATAGGTCTTTTCAGACTTTTTGACTTTTGTAGTGAAGTCAGTATGGTCTTTTTGTAGACAAATTTGAATTATACGGTTATGATAAATGCAGTTTAGTTCTGTCGTAATTTAAATGTTTTATCTAATCATCATTTATATTTGTAGATCAAACAACACAAACAGTCAGAACTACGCCTGAGCAAGGTATACATTTTATAAATGTTAAACCGTTGAGTTAAAGGGACATTAGCTACGAGATATAAAAAAAATTAAAATATGATTTTTTTTGTTCAATCTTTAATGAAAGTGAAATAGTGAAATAATAATTCGCTTTTAGCAGCCATTTTGGTTCAATTTTGTCAAAATAAGCTAAGAAACATCGCTGAATAATTATTCACTTGCAAGTGAATAATTCGACCTCATTGAATCCGTATTCATGTGACCCTTAATTTAACCCCTTAGCTAGAGTTGTGTTACGCATGAATTAGACGTGTTCTGTTATTAAAAGGAAAAGAATGTCAACATTGAAAGTGAAACAAGGATAAACCATTTAATTGACTGATTCGATCCACAAAAACTCGTTCTTATACAGGTAAAAAGGCTGATTAACATATATTTGTAACCTATAATATGAAATCAAACAGACCTAGAAAATTCCAATTGCACGAGTTCGCTATCTATTTTATATCTACATTTTGGTTTATATCGGATTATATGACCGTCGGCAGTCTTCGGAGGTCACCTCGATGGTTAATTAGATGGCGTCTAGACTAAAATACACACGAAACGCTGATACATATTATCGAGCCCATGCATTGTAAATTGTTTATTTTAGACTTTTTATAACTTGGATATACGTTTTAGTATGTTATAAATCAAATATGAGAATTTGAGTCAAATCGGTGAACATAAATTTTACAGCTAATGCCCCTTTAACACTTTGTTTCAGTGAAAACTGTTTATATGATCAAATGATGTAATGTTTTTCAAAAGTAATATTTTCTTTTTTGAAAATGACGAATATATATTTTTTTCTACCAGCAATAAGTAAAATACACAATTCTTACTATAAAAACAGATCTTCTGCTCAATTTATCAAAATCCCTAATAATCTTGTTTCTCTTGGCGCGCAAATTCATTGTTTCACTGTTATTTATTAACCTAAATGGTGAAAACTAAATATTAAAATCCGGAGATGCGGAAATACAATTATGCTGTTTTTGCATAGTTTTATAGTTTTTCTTTGATGAGAGTAAATTCCGTTTACAATACTACTCCTGCATAAGTTTTTGAAAATAACAAAACAGATACTAAACGATGAAGTTGCTGCATTTATGATCAATTTGAAAGGCCTTACTATAATCATGAATTATTTGATGCAATACCAAATTATAAAATTTAAGATAAATGCTAAAAAAATCATTGCAAAAAACCTACTGAAGCCCATAAAAAAATTAGCAAATACGAAAAACAGGCATCGGCGAACTGTCGACATGCGTAGCTTTATCTTATTTGAATGTGTGTTATCACATCTGTATTTGATGATAAAAGAAAGACACAGGTACATACAATGGAGTAAATAAGTCACAAAAAGACCACGTCTGGTCGATTTCGTGAAAACTTTGAAACTTACATTAAGAAACAGATACGAAACTAGCAATGTGAGATCCCTTCAGATTTGTAATAATTTGTTTCATTCATTCTAAAATTCAATAGTTTATAATCTGTATGATCTTCAAATGTTTTATCTAATTATCATTTTTTTTTGTAGATCAAACAACACAGACAGTCAGAACTTCACCTGAGCAAGGTATACATTTTATAAATACTGTACCGTTGAGTTAACACTTTGTTTCGGTGATTGAATGAAGTAATTCTTTTTATAGTAATATTTTCCTACTGAAAAGGATGACTTTATAATTTTTCTACCAGCAATAAGTAATATACACCATTGTATACTATAGAAACAGATCTTCTGATCAATTTATTGAAATTCCACATACTCGTGTTTCACTTTGCGCATTACATTCTGATCATCGTACGAACTGGTAAATTTAAACTCATTCGGGTTTGTAATAGTGTCTGGCATTCTAATAATGAATAATGTATGATCTTGCTGTAGAAAAATTTTGAATAATATAATAATGAAAAATGCAATTTAGTTCTGTCGTTACGTAAATGTTTTATCTAATCATCATTTTTATTTGTAGATCAAACAACACAAATAGTCAGAACTACGCCTGAGCAAGGTATACATTTTATGAATATTGTACCGTTGCGTTATATACTTGTTTCGGTGAAAATTAAACTGTTTATTAAAACTCATCCTAGATACCAGGATTATATTTTATACGCCAAACGCGCGTTTCGTTTACAAAAGATTCATCAGTGACGCTTGAATAAAAAAAGTTAAAAAGGCCAAATTAAGTACGAAATTGAAGAGCATTGAGGACCATAAATTCCGAAAAGTTTTGCCAAATACAGCAAAGGTTATCTTTTCCTGGGGTAGAAAATCCTTAGTATTTCAAAAAATTCAAAGTTTGTAAACAGTTAATTTATAATTATCACCATGATCGAATGATGAAATGTTTTAAAATAGGAACTTTATTATATTTCTACCAGCAATTAGTAAAATATACAATTCATACTATACTATACTATACTATACTATACTATTATACGGTGTTTATATATCCCAACTCGTTCGTTATGCCCGTGTTTGAAGTGATGTCATAGATTTTAACGAACGTAATCAATGTATCACTGGTAAATTATTAAGTCAGGGATTTCGTTACCATAAATTACTTAAAACATTTACTAAATTCTTTCATAGGTACACATATTTGATTAGTGAATTAGGTTGTACCTGTAGAAAACTTATTAAAAACGGTATTTCACATCCTAAATTTTACGGTAATATTGTACTAACAGCGCGGAAATCACTATGTGATCCGTGTAAACTCATCGAACCTTTAAACAAACTTATAAGTGAAAGTTATCTTATTAATGTTGTAATAAGGTCTTTGAATATTGTTTACATTGGCACTAACATCGATTTTGTCATCAACAGATTAAAACATAACTAAATTTGTATTCTTTTCGAATGGTTTTTTGGAATGTATAAATACACATCCACGTTTATTTTCTACTAAGAGATTGTTTTATCTATAAATAGCATCATACATATTTATTTTAAGGTTAAATCCTAACTATCCTACTGCCTGTCGTTACTTTTATTTTGGCATTGCACAAGTCATGTCTTCTTTGACTGTCCATGGCGTTAACACACTAAATCCCTGCCTGGGATGTGTTGTAATTGATTTTAGTCTGTGATGCATGGTTTTGTACTATTAATTGTTTTTGGGCTTTTAACTAGCTTTCAGTAACTGCAAGTACTCTCAAATCGTACTTTCGTGTTAAATTGACCTGTTGACACAATTTGTAATGCATTTCTGTTATTCAATGTTTACTTAATTTGTGTTATATCTCGTCTCACTATTTTTAATATGTACCACCTTTGATAAGTATTTAGTATTACGATAAATTTTCTGTGAACAAGAAATTTATTTGGTAAAAAAATGTTTCTGTACTCCTAACAACAAAATTGTTATATTTAAATTTACCTAAATTTTTCCTAGGTTAAAGTTGTCTTTTTGACATTGTAACATCTTTTTTATTTATATTATATTTATATTGCGTCATAGATCAAACTTATTCGTTCAGTGTTTATTTACTTGTTTTTGTTTATATGTCTTTTTGATCGAGTTAAGCCATTTCAATTGATATTTTATAGTGTGTCTTTTTATGTTGTAATGTTACACTACTGTTTCAAGTTAGGGTAAAGGTTGGCGCCTGTTAAAACGTTTAAAACGCTGTATTTGTATGCACCTGTCCTAAGTCAGGAGCCAGTTGTTCAGTGGTTGTCGTTTGTTGGTGTGGTTCATAAGTGTTTCTCGTTTTTTATATAGATAAGACCGTTGGTTTTCCTGTTTGAATTGTTTTACACTAGTCATTTTGGGGCCCTTTATAGCTTGCTGTTCGGTGTGAGCCAATGCTCCGTGTTGAAGGCCGTACTTTAACCTATAATCGTTAACTTCTGATACATTGTGACTTGGATTGAGAGTTGTCTTATTGGAAGTCATACCACATCTTCTTATTTATATTAATCAGTTAAATTCTGACTATCGTACGAAACTGGTCAATTTAGACTTTTAATAATGTGTAACATTCCAACAAACAATAATAATTAAAATTAGTTTGATCTTACTGCAGCAAAACTTGACATTATAAAAAACTGCAATTTCGGTGTGTTGTTACTTACATGTTTTATCTAATCATCATTTTTATTTGTAGATCAAACTACACAAACAATCAGAGCAAGGTATACATTTTATAAATATTTTACCGTTGAGTTAACACTTTGTTTCGGTGAAAACTGTTTATATGGTTGAATGATGTAATGCTTTTCATAGTAATATTTTCTTTTTAAAATTGATGACTTTATCATTTTTCTACCAGAAATAGGTAATATACACGATTTTATACCAAATAAACAGATCTTCGACTCCCTTATAATTCTGTTTCACCTTTTGCGCAAATTCATCATTTCACTGTGTTATCTACTGAAAATGTAAAAACAGAATATAAAATTACTTAGATGCGGAAATACAAGTTCTAGGATAGTTTTATAGTTTTATTATGACGGAAGTGTAATCCGGTAAATTAAAACACTTGAATGACACATGTACATATAAATAAGAAGGTATGATGCTACAACAATAACTAGTGTTAATAACTCACAGAAAGGCCACGTGTGGTCGATAACATAAATACACGACTAGTTTGAATGGACGTTTTCTCCAATTGTTTTCGGACTTTCAGATATAGCGACCATACAACAACAACAAACTTAATCATTTACCAACGCTTTTATATTTGGATTTCCAAAGTTTTGTCTTGATTGAACTTGATATTACCGGTATCTCGTGTCTTTCGAATAAATATCAGGAAGTTTAAATGTAAACTAACACTGACACCACTGTATCAAATAGAAAAATATCTTGATAAATTTTTTTATCATTTTTAAGAATTTGTGTAATTGCAATTTTTTGCAAAAAATGCGCAGTAAACTTCTTAATTTAAAACAAAATTAGAATAACAGTATTCCGTTGTATAATATTTATCTTTCAGTTGCACTGATACGTTTCCTGATTGCAGTAGGTACGTCAAAAATGCTGGTGGATGCAAACCCTATGTGAAGAATTATTGTCAAAAAACATGCAGACTTTGTAATTAGTTGAATTTTGCAATTAAAGCCAATTTGATCAAACATGGTTTTTAATTGAACTCTTTTAAATCCTCCGTTACGTGTGTTTGCCTATTGACCAATGTACGTTAAATTGTTGTTTCGGGGAAATTCTGGCATATAAGAGTTTTCTTTACATAAATTTACGTAATCAATTTACAGACTATACAGATCTATATAATGACATTACTTAACACAAATATTAGATACATGTAACAAACAGACCAGGGGTCAATTACATGCAACAGTAATGAATTACATTTCGATTGCATACTACTTAGAATTGATTGAATTTAGTTACAATAATTATAAGTATAATGGTATGAATCAGGGGTATACGTCAATGAAACAGCAATCCGACGACACAAATAGGCATATAGAGACCTTGCAATCTAACATTTAATTTTTTTATATTTTTACTTAAGACAGAATTAAAAATCGCAATTCAGTTTTGTAAATACATGTTATAAAACCAAGAAAATAGGAAAATCGTTTTGCAAGAATCTAATTCATGTCAGAAAGTAGTTGTAAAAATGAAATTAAGTATTCATGAGGCATTGTCTCCAAAAATAAACAATCGATCCTCGCAATGGTTGAAATACATTTTTTGTTCGGTTTAATCCTTCTTCAGTACGTCCCAACCTTAGAATATCAAATGGTCGTCACCTTAATGTAATTGTAAAAATGTAAATATTGTTTTCTCAAATTTCGAACAGTTCATGGTACGAAACTACAAATGTTTTATGATATAAAGAACTACGAGAGAGATACCTAACATACAAAACTCAAATATAGTATTAGTTTACCACTCATAACAATAAAAAAGGGGCAACTGATAAACCCTTGCAATTTTTATTTATGTTTTGGATGATATTCAAGCCGACCTCCGACGAAGGCAAACTAGGCTTATAACATAATAAATGCCGTCCGGATACCGGTGTTTCAGGCCATCAACATTTCGATATCAGGACATAATATTTAGAGTCATAATTAATATCTTTATAACCAAACTTACTTTCAGTGATAATTCTCCACATTAAGGGTAAGTCCCTTTTGTTTTGTGTTTCTACCATTACACGGCCACCATCGATAAACTGATTACTTTGCCACTTTTGGATGCACATATAAATATTTTATAGAAAAAAGAAATGTGTTCTATACATTATTTATACAGTTGTTTGTTGTTCTGCTAGAAAGGTACCAAGACTGTTCAAGTATACTTAAAGGTTGGTCTAACTAGGGATTGGTATGCAGTTTCCTTTATGGTGGTATTGTTGATATTGAGGTTCTGTTTCAGAAATCCAATGATATATTTTCGATGTGTTCGTTCCATTTCATGTCTGACTAATGGTACAACCTAGAAATTTTGCAGATTTTACAGATTGAAGAGTATTGTCATGCATTGTGTACTCTCTCACAATAGGTTTACGTTTTCTTGAAATTGATAGTACATTGTATTTATAGGGATGAAAGGCCATTTTCCATTCTGTTTCCCAGATTGCTAGTTTGTTGAGATCCGCTTGTAAGTTTTCACTGTCTGTGTCTGGTGCTATGGTAAGATATACTATTGTATCGTCGGCAAAGAGTCTAATCCTTGAGCGAATACTTTTTGGCATGTCGTTTACGTACCACTTTTTTCCTGTTAGAAAGGAATTTTTTTACTTTTTGTGACTCACTACTTTATCGAAGGCCTTTGAAAAATCCATAATAAGGCAGTCTGTTTGGTTTCATGCATCCATGGTTAAGAAGACCCAACTTAATTTCATAGGTCTATGTGAAGATCAAAATTGCATATATTGGCAAAATAAGTTTTTTTTTATCAATTGACATAAATTGACAGCAGACTTCAAAGTTGCCATAAACAAAACAAAAATATTTATTACTCAACCCAAAGTCTGTTTCTGTTACTATATATCCATAAGTTTCTCGATTCGGCTGATGCTCCCATGGTGCTGTTGTAATTCTATATGTTTTAAATCAAGGCTTATGTTCATTTGGCTATCTATATGAGTATTCATCAATTTTAATTTAAAGAGGGAGATTGAAAACAAACATTGCATGTCCCAAGTCATGGGTTGTCTGTTGAAATATTTGATGATGATTTTGTAAATATTATTATTCTTAGTTTTTGTGTGCATTTTTCTTTTTCTCCGGTTAATTTCTTTTCATCCAGTGAGCACATTTGAAGGGCATGTTTTCGTTTGTTTTGTATTGTTTGGTGTTTATGTCAACAAACAAGTTAATTTCGTATTGATGGCTGGTTTTAGTTAATTCATTAGTTGAAGCGATTTGAGCTTTCCATTTTGTATAGAAATGAGTCTATTGTCAAAGATCATAAATTTACTTCGAGATACTATTGTTATTGTGTCGTTGGGTTGAGGCTTATTGGTGTGTACCCAAAATCGCGATTACTGCATAAACAAAAATGGTATGCATGGCTGCGATTTAACTTGTATGTTTAAATATTTCAATAAACCGTTGTCCTCAACTCCATAGATCACAGGGCGTTTTCAACTTCCATTTAGACTAATTAGATGAAACTAATTGACCATGGCAATGTCCATCGCCAAGAGCCGAAACTAATGGTGACGTTTATATTTAAAGACATACTGTAATATTTATAGGGGTCGATTTCCTCTGTTCTGTAAACATTGTTTACATGTACTTTAAAATACTACACTTCCACACAATCTTAAACAAACAAAAGTTTTCCTCTCTTATCAAATAGTCGTTTGATAAATCTTATTGCAAATTTATTTGCTGCAACTCATATAAAGCCTTTTTCTCTATTTTGAAAGGTAAATATGCTTAAAGCCCTAAATTTTCTCCTTGACAACATTAATGTACGTTTTGGCAATAAAGTTTATCGGCAGGTTGTAAGTATTCCTATGGGCACCAATTGTGCCCCCTTGAATAGCAAACTTGTTCCTACACTGTTATGAATCACAGTTTATGGCCAAACTCAGTAGAGAACCGTCTAAATTCCATTTAATTGATAAATTCAACAATTACCGTTTTCTTGTTGATATTTTTTCGTTAAATAATCAAGAATTCTGTAAATATACTGCTGAAGTTTACCCAAAGGAACTTATCTTAATTTAATCAAATATTAACAACAATAACTGTCCTTTCCTAGATTTAGATATTTCAGTATTACACCAGAAACTCTATACAAAAATTTACGACAAAAGGGATGATTTTTCTTTCTCTATTGTTAATATTCCTTTTTTGGACGATGATTTTCCTTTGCCACCGTCTTACGGTGTTTATATATCCCAACTCGTTGCTATGCTCGTGTCTGTAGTGACGTTTTGGATTTCAATGAGCGTAATCTATGTATTACAAGTAAATAATTAAGTGAGAGATTTCGTTACCACAAATTACTTAAAACCTTTACTAAATTCTTCCATAGATACAGCGATAAGGTTTGCAAGTTTGGTTGTACCTGTAGAAAACTTATTTCAAATGGAATAGCACATCATAAATTTTACGGTGATATTGTTAACCGAGCCCGGAAATTAAGATACGATCTCGGTAAACTTATCAATTTTTTAAATAAACTTATTCTAAAAGGTTACTTATTCAACACTGTATTTAAATCTTTGAATATTGTATTTATTGGTATAAATATTGATTTTATTATCAGTAAATCAAAACCATACTAAATATTACACATATTTACTTTCAAGGTACTACAATCTGTCGATACCTATATTTTGGCATTGCACAAGGTCATGTTTTTCTCTGACTGTTAATGACGTCTTTACACTAAATCCATTGGATGTTGGATGTGTTCCGATTGGTATTTTAGTCTTAGATACATGATTTTTCTTATTAGTTGTTATTGGCTTTGAACTAGCTGTCAGTAACTGCGAGTATTCTCAGATCTGTACTTTTTTGTTGTTAGGGATGAGGGATGGATATATATCCTGCCGCGTCCTGTCTGTCTATAGATATAAGAAGTTGTGGTATGAGTGCCAATGAGACAACTACCATCCAAGTCATATTTGTAAAAGTATACCATTATAGGTCACAGTACGGCCTTCAACACAGAGCCTTGGCTCACACCGAACAGCAAGCTATAAAGGGCCCCAAAAATGACTAGTGTAAAAGCATTCAAATAGGAAAACCAACGGTCTAATCTATATAAAAAATAAGAAACGAGAAACACTTATGTTAAAAACTTATGTCTGTTTGTTTGATGTTTTTCTGTGTATCGATCTGATGAGTTAAGCCCTTTTCAACTGATTTTTATAGTTGTTCTTAGGTTGTGCTGTTACACCACTGTCCCAGGTTAGGGGAGGGTTGAGCGCTCAAAAACATGTTTAACCCCGCCACATTCTTTATGTGCCTGTCTCAAGTCAGGAGCCTGTAGTTCAGTGGTTGTCGTTGGTTCATGTCTGTCATATTTGTTATTCGTAAATTGTTTTGTTATAAATTGGGCCGTTAGTTTTCTCAATTCAATTGTTTCATATTTTTCATGTCGGGGCATTTTATTGCCCACTATACGGTATGGGTTTTTCTCATTGTTGAAGGCCGTACGGTTGCCTATAATTACTTACATCCACTTCATTTGAACTTTGGTGGATAGTTGTCTCATTGGCAATCATACCACATCTCCTTTGATTTTTATACTTTAAATGAGCAAAAAGATTGCAAAAAGATTTGATTAATAAATTTGGCTGTACCTGTAGAAAACTTATTAAAAACGGTATTTCACATCCTCAATTTTACGGTAATATTGTACTAAAAGCGCCTGTCCTGCCTGGGATGTGTTTTAATTGATTTTAGTCTCTGACGCATGATCTTTTATTATAAATTGTATTTGGCTTATAACTAGCTTTCAGTAACTGCGAGTACTCTCAAATCGTACTTTCGTGTTAATTTGACCTGTTGACACAATTTGTAATGCATTTCTGTTATTCAATGTTTACTTATTTTGTGTTATATCTCGTCTTACTATTTTTAATATGTACCACCTTTGTATTTAGTGTGACGATAAATTTTCA